TGCCGGCAGAAAAATTGGCAGAATTCGGTACTTTTTCTGGTAAGTTTCATGCATGTTTGGTATGTGGATAAAAAAAAATGGAGCAGAATTCGAGGAATTGCCCGCCATAAGGTTTGTATGGTTCTGCCAATTTCACTGCTTTTCGAGCAGAATCTGCCACCTTTTCGAGCAGAATCCGCCGATCCCTAAGGTCCGGCAGGCTATACAAGTACGTGTGTGTACCATGTACATGTAAGTAAAGTAAAAGTAAATGATCGTGTCTGTTCCCGCATGTATTATAAAAGATCCTGCGACTTCAGCTGTAGAATGACGAAGTTTTCTGCTCTGAACGTATAGGAGATTTCTCCGACTGACTCAGCGAAGTGTCGAGTACGTCACCACTCACCAGGAAGCCCGAGTTCCAATGTTCAGAGTAGCCACCTTCTTCATAGGCTACAGATTTTGAGATTTTGCACACGTTTCACAGGAGTCCATGCTCGCCTTCCATTGAGTGTTGTAGGATGCATTGAGATACTAGTAAGCACGAGACGAATTAAGTTAATACAATCCTGAACCAGCTCATCATACATTCTCATTACAGTCTTTATAACACGGTCTCTGGGCTACACGAATAAATGAAAGAGAAAAAAACGGCATCCGAATGTTCGGCCAAGGCCCGTCTTCAGGAGGAAGATGAAGACGAATGGGTAGAAGGAATGTCTACAAAGGAGTCTGCACCCATTGCGCCTACTGTCATTATTGATGCAGAGCTCACTGACTTTTGTCAGTTTGAGCACTCTGGCAAGGTACGTTTGGGCCAGGTCTTTGGCTCTGGCTTTGGAAATTTTATTTTTCATTGTTATCCGGTTCCGCCTCATTTTCTTTGTGCTGCCCTGATGAGTCCACAAATGACGAAACAGCATTCTGTCCGCAGGTTGAGTGTACATGTATGTAGTATTTTGTACGTAACCAGCTGAGTTCCAGGATTCATAAGGTGAGCGTACAAGTAATAATTAAGTAATAATGTATTTAAAGGATTCCCCAGAGGCCGTTTATGCCTATGGAGGGGTCTCCATTTTGTACAGTTAGGATGAGAATATGAGAATACAAAGTGAGCAGAGAATGAGAAATAACACGACGGATAGGACAACTGGGAGTGAGCAAATCAACGAGGAAAACAAGAAATATCAGTGAATACCTTTGCAGTTAAATTAAAACTTAGCCTTTTTTTAAGAACACAGGGCAACACAATCATGGTGCAGATAATTTACACAACAACGAGAGGCAAAAGAAAAGCTTGTGAATCATCAACATAGCCTGTAAAGTGTACAAGTACAGTCATACAGTGTATAACCCAATACTAGTTCAAAACTAGTATTGGGTAAACCTTGTTATAGTTCACACAAATTGTTTCATGCTGTCAATCTAACAATACGTACAGTCATGTACATGTACATGTCCCAGTTGAATGTGAGTAACTGTCAGGAACACCGAGCTCAATGTCGCCTACTTTAAAGTACATGATTGCACATGTACGTGCATAATGGCATTTCTTTGAGCTCATTAAACGTATTGTTACCTAAATGGGAAATCAGCGAGCTGTGTTCACCTGGGTCACGTTTAGCAAAATATGATAACAGTGAGTGCCATCTGCTCACCCTGAACTCACGCGACTGGGGACCGCTGAGCGTGTGGAGGGCGAACTGAATCGATTTTCTCGGGCAACGGCTGAGGTTGTAGAGTTCGACTGTCCTGAGTTGTAGCTGTCCTAACCAGGATCTAAAATCATAAATGTGTCCCATTCGAGTATCCTGAGTCATAACTGGCCAGCAGCAGCATTTATCCCGTTTTCACACAACGATGTGAATACCACGGCGTGTCAGTGACGTCTGCACGATCATACGAGTCGCTATGTTCCTCCTAGGCGCTTCCGGTAGGTGTACACGATTCGTACCATGTATTTAACATGATGAACGTGGACGTAGCACACGTTATATCGCGTTCAGACGGCGTAACGCGAACGGAAGACGCGCGAACGTAATCGGAAATTCGTGCACAGTGTATAGGCATTTTAGCAACTCAGGTGCAGTGGCAAGCATCTACTTAGTACTGCCGCAAGGAAACGGTACCCCTGCTGCTGGTATGGCACTATATGGGGCAACATGATCACCAGGTTCCTACGACCCGCCGCCGCTTAAGCTGTCCTAACCACAGCGCTGCGATGAATAGGCATTGGTGAGGAGACAGGGCGCGTCATGTATATTGCGTCAGTGTATACAATGTATGTGTCAGTGTATGTCAGTGTGTGTCAGCCCCTGAAAGCAGAAATGCCGTGGAATAGCATCACATAATATGTACACTATACTGGCAGCGGACTGGTAACGTCTAAAATAATAAGGAAACTGCAAACATGCATGCGTGATACGATGTTGATGAGTACTGCTACTAGTACGCCTCTGACTCGCAGATATGAATACCTGACTGCAAAATCCCCCACGACGCAGCTCAACAGATCAATGGGTGTAGGTGTGTATGTGTGTTCTTGTCGCTCAGTAGAGTTGAGTGGAGCGAGCTGTGCTTCCGGTGCAGAGAGGCGGACTCACATCCCTGTATGGCAACTTCCCATGTCTCGCCCAAAGATGACGTTTTTTTGTTTTTGTTCCTTTTACTAGAGCCACGTAAACCCGTCATGTGTGAGCCATGAATAAGGGGAGGGGTGGCGTGGTCTGGGATGCTCTGCCGACCTTGGGTTTCGGCTTCATCACGAGTTTAATCAGTGCAGCCATACTTGCGGTCGTAATGAAATGTTAGAACTGCTGAGGGCCACAAATACTTCATCATCATAATCATGCTTGTTCTCTTCTTTTCTTTCTCTCTTACTTTCTGTCCTTGTGTTTCTTATTATTGAAATCCAACATGGCGTTGCTAGCGCTCGCTAGCGCCCAATGACGTGTCCGCACAGCCTACAGCCTACGGGGCACCGTTGGGTGTAGGGAATGTCATCAGGTACAGGTCTGGGTGCAGGGTTCGTGTGTGGAGAGACTTTAAGCACATACATGTACATTGTACAATGTACTGATGACGTAATGTAGTGTAGTGTAGTGATGTAATGTAGTGTAGTGAACAGTATTCATCTCAATCACGTATTGTAATACGGTTAGAAGTCACGCAGCATTGCACAAAATAGCCATACGTACCTCTACTTGATGTCGTTGTGTAGCAACACAACACATAACATAGACGGACCTACACTACACACGCACACACCCGTGTACTCAAGGCTATAAGCCCCCCCCCCCCCCCCACACACACACATCTTTGACGCCCCATCTCCAGTGGAGATGATAGGCTACTGAGTTGGGCAGTACCTGAGGTGGCGCTTTAAATCACCACACACACACACACATACACACACACACACACTCACACACGCGGGGAGAACCACGTCAACGGGGGGAGGGGGGGGGCTGACACACACTAGCATACACGTGCTCATATCAAGCTATGTTATTGTTTTATGATCCTGCATGGCTGCATATCCTGTTCCAGTGATTTGACATTCGATCATTCGGTACCCCCCCCCCCCCCCGGCTATAAAGCACAAATTTAAGGTTTTGGGGATTTAGAGCATAACTTTTCTCCGTTCAAGTCTCACTTTAACTTTAATAGTGCAGGTAGGCGGGCACACACCTCACTGTATGGCAGCTAACTTCACCCTGTTTTACCCCCCCTGTTTTACCCCCCCCCCCCACCCTGTTTTACCCCCCCCCCCCCAAGACGAAGTGAATATAGTAGTAGTTACACTGGCCGAAGATTTAAAAAAAACCGTAGCCCTTTGGTCTGAACAGTGGTGTTTGTTCCACCACACACTATACAGTGTACATTCCCTCTCTTTAGGAGCTGCATCTGCGGTGTCTTGATCCTAGGCTAGAGGGCGGTGGCGTTCCTGCGGATGCGGAAAACTCAGTCTAGCTGAGAGTCTCACGCGAACCGTGAATGATTTTTTTTGTACATTCTGTGCGACGCCTTCCCTGGACGCACAGGCTCAAGGGCGTACGAAAGAGAGTTCAGGCCACTCCTGTCTTGTCGAGGTCTGATCCTTGTATTGCTATGTAGAAAGACACCTGCATGACAGTACTAGGGTCAGCGTATAAGCAAGTCAGGATCATTTTGTCTAAAATACCCTGACTGACTGTTAGTGAAGGACTCGTGTTGCTGTGGCAGTGGTGTGCTACTGCTGTTGCAGTGCTGGTGTTTGTCTTACCTGACTGATATAATTGCCCGGTGGTTAAAGTACCTTTCAGAACGAAATTGTGTGCGTTCATGTGTTCCGGTGTGCGCTACTCTAGTCTAGATGGCAGTCGTGCGTCAGTCAGGTGTCAAGTCGCGGCGTCAGAACAGCGCGAGCTAGCTCCAGTGCAGTGTGGGGAGCAACCAACTTTCCTATCCGTGTTCTAAACCAATTAAACGCGCAAAACTATGCACATACTGGTACGCACACACTACACTATTAGTATCTGATAGCAGTACACGTCTTACAGTACACGTCTAACATGCACAGTAGACACGAGAACGTTGAGGCTTGTGCAAGGAGAATCATGTGGCCCATGCGATTCCCCTCCCCCCCCCCCCCCCAAACGTTACAAGTACATGATGTATGGTAAGCGGACATTCATCACACTCACAGAGCCGCTGGGACCCGTCTTCCTCGATGGCGATTTGTGCGACAAAGCTTGGGTACAAACACTACGATCACCGCTCACGCTTTGCGCGACATGATTGATGAATTGCATACTCTGGAGCATTCCGCTGCACGCTGGCTCTCTCTAGCAACGGCCGCCGCAAGCTGTCAACAGGCAACATTGCTAAATACGTCAAGAGATCATCCTCTGGCTTGGCATCACAACCGTTCAGCAAAACCGGCTACCTGACAGGAAAGAGCAGTTAGAGCCAGGGGAGACGTGCACGGGCAAAACTAATCAAACGAGAAGTGAGAATGTCCACTAGTGAGATCCAGTCGGAAGGAGGCAAGCTAGACCTGGGAGTGAAAACGACATTATACTTTAGAGGCGGGTAGCCTGCAGACATGCGCTGTACACGCACGAACATTGCTGACGGTCACGGCCGTGCCACGCGTAACAACCCGTCGGCCTGGCCTGAAGAGCAAGACCGACCTGGTGGCAGGCGTACGCCGAACAGCACCCAGCAGCAGACCTACTGCTATTGGGCTGACTCTCCCCGTCTTTCTGGCACAGCTAGTTAGCTAAGCTGTGCAACACCAGGACCTAGAGAGATCAACATCAACGATCTACTGGTCATTCAAAATCAGTACCATAAACGGGAGACTGCAACAGAGGCGCTTGGTGACTGTTGGATGCTGTTGTGCCTTCAAACAGGCTAGAGAAATCACTGGATAGCAGCAGCAGGGAAGAGAAGGACGACAACCTGCTAAACCTGCGTCTATGCGAGGTAAGAGCTGTGATGAAGATATTGTTTGCCCGAGATAATGCCAGTGTCACTGTCAGGGTTTCAAAGCGTGTATTGTATAATCTACTCTTGAACTAGCGATAGAGTGTGTCAAGCGGACACACGCTGTAATCTCCCGTATCGTACCGAAAGATAAGACGTGCTTGCACACTTTCGGTAGATGTACATGTATATCACAACAATAGGGAACTACGACTACGAGTCGTGTTGAGGCTAGAGCTTCACTAGACGCTTCTTTTAGCCATTGGGGTGTGCTCCGGCGGTTTCAGTTTCAATGTGAGAAGTGCCCACCGATGACTACTTCATCACGTTATGTACCTGGGACTTTCTGAGTGTCCTTGAGCGACGTCAAAAGACTGAGAAAGCACACGGTTTGCGTGGTGTTGGACTGGCCGGCATGTCGAAAGCATCGCTCAAGTATCTTTAGAGTGGTGCTGTCCGTAGACACAATCTCAGTGGTCGTAGAAGATCTCGTCCCGTGATACTGACAGCCTAGTGCTGTGTCGTGCCGACGCGTAAACTTGACTTAAGTTAAACTAAAGGAGGAAGCTAGGTTAGAATTGGGTTAGGAACAATACTCCTCATGAGCTCAGTCAATATCGTGCTATAGCGTTAGGCACATGTAGCTGCAATACTTCGCTCGAGACCCACGTCCCTTTCCGCGACACTGTCCAGGGAAGTGCATCCATCGTAAACCTAGTCATGTGCAAGTAGTCTATAGCAAGCCTTTCCAAGTCCAAGCCACTGTACTGCGTGTGAGTGACTGATGGGCAACTGTCAGACGCACTGGGTTCGTGTATGTGAATGCTGGACGGAAGGTTGGAGCCATCACTGACGCCCGTATGATGGCCGTATCATGGACATGGTGGCATGATGGCTGTATCATGGTGGTATGATGGCTGTATGGTGCGTGTACTTGTATCAACAACGGCCTCCAAACGTACATGATGACATTGTACAATAATTATTATAGTCCCAACTTTGAACGGTAGTGGGTTTGGGTTTTCCTTAGAGTTTTGCTATTTGCTGCATCACAGGACTGAGAAGTGAGCATGTCTGTCTACCAGTACCAAAGCTAGAAACATTCGCGTTGTGAGGGTGACACGTCAACAGCGCCGTGCAACTCACGTCACGCAGACAAGCACGGAATTTTCACAAGCCTATCCAGATACGGAATTGGAGCAACGAGCGCGAAAGTGGCGTCTTAGGTCTAAATGAGGCGAAGTGAAATTTATACATGTACGTGTATCTGTGACGTGTGTGCTGTATTGTATTTACGTGAAGCATGCTTGTGAGCCTGAGTATGACTCATAACGGGTATTGAGGATGCTGATCCTTTCCACTGTATAAGTTTCGTTTGTAGTAGAGGAGTGCGCTTATATAGTTGTATCGGAATTGTTTTCTGCCCGTAAACGTAAACTAGAGCAGCTATGTAGTAGATTTGCTGTTAGGCTTTTTCCTACGAACATCTCTATCTTCCAATACTTGCAATGGTGTGCTTTACCTGTCAACTGTTGTGTGTCCATCTCGTTTGCCTTATTAGGATACCGCCAAGGCACAATATGGCGGACGTACGGATACCGCTATTGCTACCGGTTCTAGCGTTGGCAATGCTGGCCAGCGCCCAAGACGCGCCCACGCAGCTGCCCGACATGCGACCGCTGTTCCTGACCATCGCGTCACGTGCCACGCAGACCCTGCACCTGGACACGATGGCCAACGCGGAGGCCAGTGTCGTGCTTTTCCCATGCCAGGGCGAGGTACAGTGGAACGTCACCGACTCCGTCACTGGCGAACTGCTCCACAGTCACGTGACTCCGGTCATCAAGGGAACACCGGCGCAGCGCGTCAGGTTCGCGGAGCGCATGCGCCGGCAGGCTTCGTGGGCGCAGGATCAGCAGCAGCAACAGCAGCAGGATCAGCAGCTCGGTGCCGGATTCTTCGGCCAACCACAGGCAAGCAATGCGCAGCAGTCACCTCCTGAGACTCCGAACTACTTCGCACAGCCAGTTCCTCAGGCTGGAAACCCTGAAGAACGGTTAGGTGAGTTGGTTGGTGAGCCTGCCAACACAATGCTGGCAAACCCATTCGAGGCAATCATGAACGCAATAGTACCGACCAGCGGCAGTACTGTGGCACCCACCACCCAGTCCCAGCTCACTGCTGGCCTGACGTTCACAGCAGGCCTCGGTAAATCACTTGGCACCACCGTTAGCGTATTTAGACAGCGCCAGACTGAAGCCAGACCGCTGACAGTGAACGTGCATAACCCTACTGGCGATGAGGCGACGTTCCAGGTCGTAGGTACGTCCATGTTCGAGCGTCTGCCGTTTCCCGAGCTGCCTGTCGAATCACAAGTCACCGTGGATGGTGTTAGACCCGACCAGATCATGATCAGCTGGGAGCCTGTGCTGCAACACGTCGATCTAGCCGTGGCCGCGGCCGGGGCCGCGCCGTCACAGAAGACGATCGAGTACTGCGCCGAGTATCGTCCGCTAAGCGAGGTGCTACCGGGCGACGTGCTCACGAGTCCGTGCGCCGATCAGCGCCGCAAGCCCGGTACGAAGCGCCTGTGTACGCAGGACACATCACTGACCCTGACCAATCTCACGCCAGGTACGGAGTATGCCGTGGACGTCCTTGCCTCAGACGTGGAGAGTGCTGGAGCGCTCCCGTACACCAGCGTCCAGGTGAAGACATCACGTCAAGGACTTCCGATCGCCAACCACGAGGAGATGAAGGGACTGCACTCGCCACCTCTGGGCAGTGCCATCTACACGTTCAACACGGCCGAGATCCGACAGACACCCGGGCCAATGAGCATGACCGTCTTTCCCTGCCAGGGTCGGGTCACGTGGAGCCTGAAGCGCGATGGGCAGACCGTAGCACAGTTTAGCCCCGAGTATGATATCGACATCGAAGAGGAGAGTAGTGACGACGAGTCGTACGAATATGAGAACAGCGTGAGTGCGCCCGATGACGATTTCGAAGACTTCACCCGGAGGAAGCGGGGAGTCCGCTCCGGAACTCGCGTGCGACGGCAGGTGGTGACGGGCGGCCAGACGGTTTTCAAGTACGAGAATCAGGCCGCTCCGCCAGGCTTCTATGAACTGGAAGTGAACAATACGCAGAACGCCACTTCGCAGTACAGCGTCTTCGGCACGGTGTCACCTGAGACTGCGCCTTTCCCATCGCTACCACCCAACCCTAATGTGCAGATCAAGGAGGTGACCAATAATGAGGTAAAGAACACAGCAACCGGGCAATACACAGAGCTAGAGATCATTGAGTAGAGACCCCATGTTCTACACAGAGCTAGATATCATTGAGTAGAGACCCTGTGTCCTACACAGAGCTAGAGACCATTGAGTAGAGACCCTAAGTTCTACACATCAGATATAGAGATCATTGAGTAGAGACCCTATGTTACACACAGAGGTAGAGATCATTGAGTAGAGACCCTATGTTACACGCAGAGATAGAGATCATTGAGTAGAGACCCTATGTTACACACAGAGGTAGAGATTATTGAGTAGAGACCCTATGTTACACACAGAGGTAGAGATTAGAGACTTTTCCTAGGCTATGTTCTACACTAAGGTAGAGGTGATCCAGTATCGGGTCTATAGAGACCCGATGTCATGCACAGAGCTAGAGATGAGGGACCATACCTATGTTTAACATTTATACACAGTGCTTAGTTGTCTGAGGATTGCCTTAGCTTTGCTATGTGCATGAAACGCAGCGTTACAACAATGACCTAGCCGGCTGTCTCTATTCTCTTCTGTCTTTGTGGTAATGCTCCATCCCGTTGTGGTGTTGAGCACTCTAGGCAATCTGGGAACTCTCGCTATTGTGTACACAGTGCTGAAGATTAGGGGCCCTATGTCATACACATGCAGTGATAAAGAAAACTTCAAAGTAAAAACCATTGTGTTTACCAAGAGCTAGGAATTAGAGCCTCTTTGTATCACACAGAGCTAAGGACCATGTCCCTAGGCGTTTAGGTCGTCAGAGACGCATAGATGGCATGCCTGAGACAGATTTGACCGTCTGAACTGTGCAATTGTCTTGGTTGGGTAATAAGATGCATAAAAGGTTCTCTTCATGCTCACCAAGTTTTGTTTTGTTTGTTTTGTTTGTTTTGTTTGTTTTGTTTGTTTTGTTTGTTTTGTTTGTTTGTTTTTACTTAACAAGTGTTTTGTGCCTGTTTTGACTTTACCCATCTTGTCTTGCTGTACAGGTGACGGTGGACTTCAACCCGAGCCCGAGCGAGAACACCACCTATTGTATAGCTGCCATCCCACGCACTCAACTGCGCATGCAGAGCTTTGTGCGCAACAGCCCTTGCTCGGAAACGGCGCGCAACACCATCAACAACGGCTTGAATCAACCTCAGATTGAGCAGCCGCTCGCTGGCGGCAACGGACTCGGAGGAGGTGCCGGAGGTGCGAATATTCCGGCATATAACGGCGGAGCGAACGCAGTTGATTTCGGTGTTCCCGGTGGCGCGGCAGCAGGCGGTGTTGGCGCTGGCATGGGTGGTGGTGGTGTTGGCGCAGGTACGGCTGGTGGTGGTGCAGGTATTGGTGGTGTTGGTGGTGGTGGCGCTGCCTTAGGTGGTGGTGGCGCGGGTATTGGTGGTGGTGTTGGTGGTGGTGGCGCTGCCATAGGTGGTGGTGGCGCGGGTATTGGTGGTGGTGTTGGCGGTGCTGGTGGTGTTGGCGGTGCTGGTGGTGTTGGCGGCGCTGGTGGTGTTGGCGGCGCTGGTATTGGTGGCGGTGGACAACAGAATGCATTCGCAGCAGGCAACTCACCGACTGGCAATGGCGGTGGTGCTTTCAATGGCTTCTCGGCAGGTGCCGGAAATGCAGCAGCCAGTCCTGGATTCAGCACAGGCAACGTAGCTGATAGCGGTCGCACTGCCGCTATCCCAGCTGCTGGTGAACAGCCCGCGGTTGGTGGCTTCGGGCAGGATCCACAGACCAGCGCTCCGGGGCTAGCTGGGGTCGGTGGCGGTGAGGCTGGCTTCCCTGCCGACGCAATGCCCCAGGGCATTGATGTACCTATCAATGGCGCCGCCCCGGTCGGGGTCAGCCCCGGATCCCCGCAGGCTCAAGCACCCAATAACAACCCACCCCAGGATGCCGGACAGTCTCCCCTGGACCTCATCAACAATGGCAACCAAGCCAGCGTGGCCGGAAGCGACCCAATGCAGTCATCGAACCCTGTGAACGCATTGGCCGGTGGCGGTGGCACATTCAGTAATGGACAAGGCACTGCTGGAGATCCCATGAACGCCCAGGGCCCCGCTGGATCGCAGAATGTGATTGCCTCGGGCACGGCCAACACGGGTGGCACCGGACTGGGAGGTTCTCCAAGCCAGTTAGGCGGCAACGGACAGCAGAACGCCAACGGTGGTACAGCAGCCGGCACGGGTGCTGGTGGCCAGGCGGGCGCAAACGGTGTCAACGCCGATCCGCTTGGTCTAGGCCCTGACGCTGGCTTCACGGCCGCCGGCTTTGGAGGAATGGGCGCGCCGTCGGGTAACCTCGACCCGGGCCAGGGCAACAACAACTTTCAACTCGTTCCCGACCAGAATGCCGGCGGCCAGGGTGGTGTGGGTGCACCGCCCCCGTCCTTCGGCAATGTCCCCGTACCCGTTCCAGGACAGATGGCACCACAGCAGCCGGGCGGCCGTGGAGTGGAGGGAGGCATGGCCGTGCCGAACATGCCCGGAGCGGGCCAGGGCGAGCAGGTGAACTTCAACAATGTGGCTCAGCCGGCCGACGCCGGCACCGGGTTCGGGCAGACGGGGCCCGGAGGCATGGGCGGTGGTAACCTAGGACAACAGCCACCCGCACCACCGCGCGGAGGTAACTCGGCGTTCGGCGATGGCTTCGGTCAGGCACCGCCACCGCCGTTTAGAATCGAGACGCCGGACATCCTCATCGCACCACCCGTCCCGCCGCAGTGCGGACGATCAACGACGCAGGTGATCCGCAACATCACGGCCGGCGTACCGTACGAGATCCAGGTGTTTGCCGTCAACTCGCGAACGCATCAGGCCATGGCCTACACCGGTGCCGTGGTCATACCGCATGCCACCGGCAGCTCCGCACGCGTCACCGCTGGTGTGCTGACGTCACTATGCGTTGCCATGACTGCAGTTGCCATGTCTCTCAATCACTTGATTTGAAGTGTGTGGCAACGGTCTAAGTACTTGTGGTATCAGCATTACCGATGGTAGTGGCTAACCCGACCTGCTGCTGTTGTCATCTGATCTCAACGTTATTACCGCAAACTCAATATCTCTCCCTGTGCTACGCAGCAAAACTCGAGCACTGAATGATCGGTGCATGTCGATATCATCTCTCTCTCGGGTGAGAGCAATTTACTAAGTGAGGTGTAAATGCGATGTACGCTCTTTCCAGACAACACAGCCATTATTGTTACTGGACTGAATAGCCTCAAGTGATCATGCTCGTTTTTCCTTAGCGTTGTGTTGGCCTTACATCAACCAAAGCACACAAACTATTTCTCCCTCACACACGCGCAAAGGCACGACTGCACAAGACTACATAGGTACTGTAACACTTATTTTGAAACTACCAATACACTATGCACAGTGGCGCCTCTTCTGTTATTATAAGGGAAAAATTACTATGGAGAGATGTAGAGGCTTTTCACTTGATGATCTTGCGAGTATTATTGTACTACAGTGGCTGTAGATATTTTTATCTTCGTCGTTTTTCTCCTTTATTTGGTCGTGCGTGGTCATGAGCTGTTGCGGACAGAATCTTTACGCAAACACATCAATAACTATACCCTAATTATTGTTCTATTCTAAACTGTACTATAAAATTCGTTCTTTTTCCGAAGCGATTGTTCCCAATGTTGCTGGTGTGTCTTGGAATACAATAGCGAGTCCTGGTGCTGGCCGAGTCAGTGGGTGTCTGCCCGAGATGTTTCCTGGTTCAACTCCCATAAACTTCTGAATGAATTGTGTGTACCAGTATTTGGGGATTTAGATCAGAAAACATGGAGCTCTAATGCACAAGATGCGCTCTCTATTCGATGAGGCACGGCGTTACCAACGTAGAGGGAGAGGTTAAAGTAGGCCGGGGAGACTTTCCAAATTTAGCGTGAAGGAGTGGTGATGATGGTTGGGCAAATGTGCATAATGCGATATCGACCCCCTCCTCCCCGCGAGTCGATGGCTTCAACCAGGGAGTAGTAAAATTCCGTATTTTTTCTACTCCATGGTTTCAAGCCTTGAAGAGTTGTAAAATCATAACAATTATTATTACATGTATGATGTTCAAGTGCAGTCGGTGCCTGATTGCAGATAGTTCAGTACAAGGAAGGGGCAGAGTCCCTTTCCCTGCTGTTGTGTCGTTTCGTCTGCTTCCCCAGTCCAGACAATCATAGAGATAGCGGTCTTCTCAAATAAGACAAGATTTTTTAAATCCCATGACTTGGAGCACCCACACTGGTTCATTCAGGGACCATGTACATATGCGTTCTAGTGAACATGCCTATGGAATAGTATGGATGTGGTGTACTAGTAGCTGTGCTGTGGTGCTGCCTGCCACCCGTTCTTTGAGACCCTGGAAGTGCCTTGCTTGCTCTAACTTCACTCAGACACTGTTACTTGGTAAGGAAGGCCAGCACGGGTTTTACACAGCAGCTGCATGGATACCCACTTTGTTGATATGCGGAGAACAACATAGCAGTATTGCAATGGGAGACCGGCGCATTGTATGGAAACAATGTTCGCCGCCTTGCGCCATGCTGTCATATTCAAACCTGGTACAAACCATGAAGCAAGACGTACGTACATGCCATTGTATAACACTGGACGAACGCACGGTTTCTCCATGTTATTGTTGACACGCAGCTTCACGCACATTGCACTGCATTTTGTTAGACTACAATGTAATCTTCATTGCTATAGGTTATGCCCAGGGAGTACTAATTGTAATACCATAATAATACAACTACCTTCTCCTCATTGGTCCTACCCGATAACCTTGAACCTTCCCAGCTGGAAGGCTGTTGGTTTGCGCACTGGAGATGTGTTAGAGCTAGGCCTCAGGTTGTTGTACGTCTCAGTAGCATGTCAGTTTTGTGCCCTGTTATCGCACTTTCTGATTGCTTATTGTCTCTTGTTTACAGTCGTGGATAGTTGCTTCATAACTCATTTCCATGCGATTTATTCTGCTTTATTTCAATATTTTCACGTTTTTCACATTTGTCTCTTTCCCTCAAACCAGTTAATATTTCAATATACCATTTTGTTTTACTAATCGCTGTTGTGTACAGTGTGTTAGTAGTACTAGTTTGGGAATTCTCTCATTGAAATTCACCCATGATCGGAATCCACACTTCTTCGCTTGTGTTGGACAACAAAGGTAGAAGGACAATAATCCACAGAAAATAAGGATATGCATGTTTTAAGTAAAAAAAAAGAAAGGTCCTATAAATGGAGTTATGACTAATAGTCCACCAAGGTAACCAAGGTAACGAGATATTATCTGAGTTTCGAAAAAAGCGTTAGGTGGTCTAGACCCAATCTCTGGACAGCTAGCTGTTTCGACCTTCTTATGGTCCCAGCAGCGCAGCTTCGAGTGACTGGCCGAAACGATGTCAATGAGGTCGACAGTGCAGTGCTTCTAGTGAGGTACAAAGCAATCTTTTAAATCAGCCCATATCACCACAGTCATACTCATAGTACTCTACCTGGGAGAAGCGTAGCGAGCTCTCTTAGGGCAGACAGCGTTGACGCTAACTAGAAAGAGTGCTCAGTCACTGTCCAAGGCCAAGCCAAGGCGAGGAAGGGTAATACTCAATCTTTCATAACCGGTATTCATGCACTGCGGTCTACTAGCACTAGTAGTGTAATCATGCACATATTATTCACAAGAGAGAGATTGGAAGCTTTGTTACAACTTTGTACATATTATTCTATAATCAGAATATAAACGTGACCTCACCCATCGATTGTCAGGTCATTTTCTGCATGTGTTGATTCTGTTCACCACATAAAACACATGACATGCGCACATACGTGGACAATCGAGTGGCATTTGTAGTGGCAATGCATTTTATGATCTCATCTGGAACGACAGTGGCAGTTGAATGAGTGGAGAAGGAACGAGGCTTCAAGTACGACAGGCCGAGAGGCGGGCTCACATTCCAGTATGGCAGGTTCCCCATCCCATCTCACCCCCAAGACGACGTGAATACAGAAGTGGTAATACTGGCTGAGGATGAACAAAAAAGAAAGAAGAAGCAGAAGAAACTTCAAGAAAGCATAAGAGTACAGTGGATTCAATGAATCGCCAGAGCGAGCAGTGAGGCACTGCCAAATTCCTCTCGTCGAAGATGGAGCTGCTTTCTAGAAACGCCTTAGAGAGTCGCGGCACGGGCAGGGCGTGATTGTGTTGTTTGTACGTTGTGCTCCTGTCTTGCTGTGCAATTGCCACTTTTGGCAAGTCGAATTCGACGTTGATCAGCCGGAGTGAACAAATCCAAGTCTACACAAGTGTACGGCACCTACAGACGGAGAACATACACCAGTAAAGCTATGCTGCTCCGTGGCTACAGACGGAGAACATACACAAGTAAAGCTATGCTGCTCCGTGGCTACAGACAGGACATGCACGACGTACAGTAAAGCCTGTAACTAAAGACCACCGTGACTAGCGACCAGCCTGGTACTACAGACCACTTCGCCAGGCACGGACAGTCTCACGTTCATAAGTATAATGGTTGTCACAATGTGCGGTGCAAACCTCTAACTAAAGACCACCTGCCACTAAAGACCGGTTTCTCTGGCCCCAAGGGGTAGTGGTCGTTATTCACAGGGTTTACTGTATGTTGCTCGGTGCGGCGTGGCGGCCAGCCTGTACAGTACTAGTCTGTACTAGCCTGTACTAGCCTGTAGGTAATGCTCAATGAAGACAGTATTGGCCGGCGACGTGAATATCCTAGTCTCCGATCTGCGCGAGGCCTAAACTGTCCCTCTATGTAGTACGTATCACGTCTGGTGCCGCATCACGTCAACGTCCAGCACATTCCAGCACATGTACATGCACAAAGTAGATGTACACGAAGCGGATACGGATAGCACAATGAATATACACATGTATGCTATTTGAAGCAAGGAAAACGTTGTTTCACACTCGCCCAGATGACTGGATTAGAATTTGCTCATTGGTTAAGTTGAAACGAGCTACCAGACATCACATCGACTTGCTTTGCACGCAACAAGCGTCTCTAACGCAGACATCTACAAATCTCACGGCCGTCAGTGGTTCCTGGTCACGGCGTGTAAGATAAGCCTCGTCGATAGTTGAATACTGAACATGCCAGAGAGGACAACATACCCGTGGCGCACGCCTTGATTCAACTAGTGCATGTGTTGATGTCAAAGCCTCAGCTCAGTCGTGTGGTAGTATACAGTCATGTATACATTGTTGTCTTGCATGGTCAGAGGCATATCCCCCCGCACTCTCCAATGCAAGCTGGCCGCAAAGCAGGTCCCGACGGACGAAGTTCGGTCACGATGATATTCACAAACTCCAGCACCTCTCCAGCTCTCTCGACTCAAGCAAGCGTCCCGCTCAGCCCAAGCCTGCGCTCGTAAGACCCGCAGCACACGAGCATCAGAAACATGTCACAGTCATGCTATGTATTGATGCGAGAGAAGTCACCAGGAGATTCATTCGCACCAGTGATACAGAATATTTACTTGCGAAGCCAAGCTCTCAACCTGCTGCCTTATCTCTGAATTTCATATGGGAAACAAGGAGCTTACGTCGAGGACTACTAGGAATGATATGTGAAGCTTGTCCACAGTGCGGAAACGCTGTACATTGTTGAATGTGGAGGCGACTGTGAAGCGGAACAACGAGATCACGGTGTGGTTTCGTGTGGTTTCTGGCACCGACTGTGCGTGAGGTGCGCTCATCTCCGTCGCAAAGATCAGGTCAGTGTCAGAATAGTTGAGTCAATGACCACCTTTTATCTGTGTTACATGTCATGGATGTGTGTATTCCGATCTGATACAGTGATACAGTGATACAGTGATAGTTATGAATAATCATGATAACTGTATAGTAGCAGAGTACAGTCATATCTTTGACACAACCTTCATACATCTGCTAGTAGAGTTTCTTCGCAGTAGACTATTTCAAATTTTCATTTTGATTTCATCGCCGAGTTTCATCCCCTGTATCTTTGGTGTTCTTGTTGTCATTTGTAATTGAAATTTTATTTTGTAGCTGACTACACTACCTATAGTTACGATTAAGTTGTTCGTGTTCGACGGGGATGCGAGCACCATATTCAACACCCCCCCCCCCCCCTCCTCTAAATCTTTGCTCAGATGCACTTTGACACTTTTAATACAACGTTCGTAATATGGAAACCCTTCCGTAGGCGAGAAGATTTGGGGATTACTAAAATCGTAAGATTCAAGGCTATGAATATTGTAAGCTTCACGGTTCGCTTGAGACTCAGTTTGATTTGACGTTTTCAGCATCCGTAGAAACACCGCTACCCTGCAAAGATCAAAGGCGCTGATGCAGCTCCTAAAGCGGTGTGGGGGGGGGGGGGGGGTGAGTACAGTGTAGATCATCAGCCAACCAGAAAAGTGGTCAAAGACGGAAAATCCCATTCGCCGCATCCATGTTTCCCTCGTGCCAGGCCACGAGTTCCCAATTTACTGACTCTGGTCGGTTGAGTTGCTCGTTGCTCCCAGCACATCGGCACGTCGTCCCTACATCCCCTATGTTTTGTCCTTTTCCTCGTTTCTTTTTATCCTCCACCTGTTTTCCAGTAGGGCATTGTTAACAGTAAAAAAGGGCAAAATTAAACAAAACAAATCTCACATGCCACATGATCAGAATAGTGGAAACAGTCATCACATTACGTGACAGATGAGTTTGGTGATATGTACAATTTTGGTCTTAGGAAAGTGGGTTGCTCCCCACACCGCTGGGGCCTCGCGCTTTTCCACCGAATTGTCTCACACTGTGGGATGCGGAGCAAACCACTTTCCCATAAATGTATCACCGAAGTCGATACCACTGTCGCGTAATTTTGTTCTCGTTATGACGTCAGAAAGCGACGTAAAGTAAAGTACAGTCATGTATAGTGGGCAAATCCGCATTACCACCGGCTATACAATACTGTATTATTATTAAATTTTCGATAGGACAATCCCCACAGGCCTAAGGCTTTTTTACAGGGTACCCTGGGAAAGGAAATACTGTAGACACAGGAGACGTACATGTATTATGTTTCGGTACAGTAGTTAAATGCTGATGTTCGGGTCTTTTGGTCTGGGCTGAAAGGACAGGCGACAGCAGTAGAGTTTCAATTTTATACTTCATCATCAAAATAGAAAAGAAAAAGGACCAAGGAACTACAAGTTACGCTGTAATGTCCACTAACACCACCAGTTACTAAACAATCACCTCACGCGATAACATTGCACGACACTGACCGACGGTACTGACGTTCTACAACCAACTGGCTAACAGCTCCAGCACTTCTTGGATGCGCACTCCAACAGCCTTCCAACTTGGACGGTTCTAAGTTATAATTATGATAACACTTGATAACGTGGCTCTCCATCCGAGTTTCAATTTCCCACACTTTATATGCATAGTATTATGTAAATCGCCATGCAAAGCTTCGGATTGTTTCGAGAATTGCTGTGCCGGGCATGCTCAAACCTAGAGTGCTACTTTCTACTTCTAAAAACACCCAATTGTGTTCATGGATTCGTGTTCCCAAAGGTAGAGAAGCTTTTGGGTTTGCAGGAAGATCATGCATGAAAGAAACATCCCTGAGACGCGTTAGCTTCGTCCGACCGCATCACAGCAACGGCACACTTGAATGCGTCGCTGCTGCCTCTAGTGACGTAATCCAATATCATCTCACTGGAACTACATGTATGAACTACAGTTGTGCTGGATAAAATCCGGCCCAAACGTGCATACAGTTATGCACTTGGCGCTCCGGACGCACATTTAAATCCCATGACGCCCTGGAAGTGGTAAGAATGCTACTGAACGTTCACAACCATACGCAAAATACAATCAGTGGTGTCATAGGTACTGCCAGGGCGTGCATTCTACTTTGAATTTATGGGTCGGATTTCGCCAAGGCTAACGGTACATAGTCATTTACTTCATTGTACATTTAAACTCAAAATAGCACATACAGTAATACACATTCCCATACTGCCATAGTCCTCGGGTATACATGTATCTCTTCACGCATACTTCACTGTCAAGCCAAGCCAATGGCAAGTTGCGTAGGCGTGGAGTAAGTGAATGTACATGCAGTCCCAGAGCGGTTCCCTAAAACCCTTTTGCGACAGGTACCCGTGGCGAGAGGTTTGCCGGGCTAGACCAAAATAATAATAATGGTGGAATAGCACGTCCTGCTCCGCCTGAGAAACGATGTCGATGAGTATCGTGCAGTAGTACGGCTAGTGCTGAGACTCAGTTAATAAGAGGCTGCTTCCTGCGTCACTGCTGCCACATACCGGCGGGCAACCAGGACGGATGACAGCATAGACATCCGTAGTCATGCACTGTTTGCCCATAGCCGACGAGCACCGGTACATGAAAGCGGAACGCATCATCGGGCACGATCGTACTCGACACGTCTTCTTCATGCAGCAACCACAGTGTGTGTCGTAAGGTTGGGGCAAAGAGAAAAAGAAGGAGTGAGAGAAGAGGAGAAGGGGCCCGGGGGGGGGGGGGGGAGGCAACTGCAGTCGCTGACTGAAACAGGGGCAAGGTCATCACCAACATGGATGAATGATCGATCCAACGTTGCAACTGATATACGCAATGATTGGTACGCGGAGTCGCGCACTCATCCAAACATGCACAAGCGCTGGCAACAAGCTCGCGCGCGCACTTTAAAAAACCGAGGCCGCATTCAGGAGACTCTGGCTGCTGCTCGCGGTGGTCAATGCTAGTTCCTAACTTAGGAGTGGTTGTAAGACTCCTTGCTCATGTATATGTACATATTATTTAGTTAATGGCTGTTCGGCACGACCCCGTCAACCGTCATGACAAGCACGTTATGCATTCATTTATTTACTTATAGTTATACAACATCTCCTGGCGCGCCGTACGACTGGCACTAGAGAGAAGGAGATAACGGGTGGCAACCAACCACGGCTAACTAACAACTACATTTAATTTAAAGCCCGTGCTGTTGGTCTGACAATGATTCTCTTGATGAATGTGGAGCCGTGACAGGAGTGTAGCAAGGGGCTACATACAGACATGTACATGTACAGCGGTGGATGAGATGCACCAGTGGCCTGGCGTGAGCGACAGTAAAAGCAAATGGAAAGCCTGCAGAGCTCGACGGGCGTTCAACACACGGGACAAAGGGCATGCTAAGCTCAATACCTGCTACCACACTCCATATGAGTACTGCCGCTGCAGGGTCACAGTACGATGTACAGGCGTAATAATTATTCGTGGAAACATTTAATAGGTTGCCCGGGAAGACGACGCGCGACTAATTCCTTTAGTCTGGCAGATAAGCAAACTTCAAAAACAGATCACTGCAGCATGATCATCGAAACCGGTGACATGTCAACGACCTAGCCCGCAAGTGAGCACACCGACATGTGAATATACAGACAATGTAGATTGTAGTTGCACAGTGTATCACTGCACAATTGCATTAGATTGGTACAATGCACGCACAGTTCTATCTCTATGTACTCGTATTAATTCTGTATCCAGCGCAGCACTGAATGCCGGCCATTGCATCATCCTAGTCCGTGTCGTGTATACTATTATGGAATACGCCGCACAAGACAAGACAGTACTAGGGTTGAGGGGACCGAACAGCACACGTGACGTACACTGTACATGTACACGTACGAGTGCGTGAATACGAGAAGTGAAATTAGCATAATGACGCCTTCGCTGTATGGTTTGGCGCGATTTCTTGCCTGGGGATCGCACAGTGTGAAACTTGACTCGAAAGAACATCTCGTTTAGCCGTTTTCGGTGAGTAATCACTACGTCACAGTGTGCAATCAGTCCTGAGTTACTTTACATGATGAAGATTGCTCGTGGAAGCTAGAACGACCGTGCATACCATATTCGTACGCTATGACTTTGTTCTGTGTGCATAACATCACGCGCGGGCTCGTCCAGTTAACGTAAGGCATACGAGCTCCATGGCGTTACGACCATACAAAGGCATCGGTAGCACTGTTTTGAAAGCGGATACGCCGGGCCTGGACGATGCCTGTTGGCCGTTGATGACCTGTCAGGACCAGTGTTCGGCCTGTCGACCACCACAGGCACAGGTCACAGCTAGGCTCAGCTCTCCTGTTGGCCAGTGTTGTGACGGGAGCCGATCACTGCATGGCGCGGACCGAGCAGCAGAGCCGCCGCTGCCTCGATGTGGCAACGGCGTGTGCGCGCGAGTGTGTACTAGCCTGTGTGAAGCGGTGTGCATTTGGCCATGGAGTACAGGCAGCGAACAGGCACACGCTACGACAACGCTGCCTCGTTGCTAGCGTGCAGAGGGGCACACGGGAGAGGCAAGCTCGAGGAGGCAACCAGGCACAACGAGAGCGAGAACAGCAGCAAAGCACATTCATTAGCTCTTGGGATAGTCGTGGAGGAGTTGTGAGGAGAGACGCGGAACCAAACAGAGAGTTTAGTTTTCTAGAGCTTGTTCTAGTACTAGGACGAAGCGGGTCTTTATCCAGGTGTCGTGCTGGTGTCCAGTAGTACAGACGTCAACCTGTAGCGGCAACCCATGATATCAAGGCGGATAGGTTCTGCAGTGCTGGACTAGACTGCTGGAGCTGAAGGTGCTGATAAGAGCCCCAATCTGAACGCCGATAACACGGTAAGACACTCACTGCCAACATGGGGGGAGAAAGGTGCCATAATGAAACTGAAACTGAAAGCAACCGTTCCTTAGATATACACGATTGTGTTATTATAGACAAGGTTGACGTTGATGTTCTCGTGTAGTAGTGAGTAGTTTACCCATGGCTGGCACATCATTGAGGTTGTTCTCGTGTACCCCTGGGTTACTTCCAACAACAGCGTGTGCTGGGTTGTATTGGGACCCACGAAATGCTACAACATGTGAAGGGACTCTCATAAACCTTAATAGAGATGAAATATAGGCCAATGTTGGGAAGGTCTATTGTGGACCTACACGGTTGACATCGTTGGTTAGACAGGCCATGCACAGGTCTGGGCGTCTCGTCGGATAACGTGTGCATCTCGGGTGTGGGAGGGGTGTTTCGTGCGGCCATACCCTATGACAGAATGGATGAGAACGAAATAAGGATACGATCAGAGAAACCAGCTTGGAAACCATGGATTGAGTTTTATGCTCAGTGTGGGAACTTTGCCTAGTGTTGCACGATGTAGATGCACTGTGAATGGTGCTGTGAATGGTGCTGTGAATGGTGCTGTGAATGGTGCTGTGAATGGTGCTGTGAATGGTGCTGTGAATGGTGCTGTGAATGGTGCTGTGAATGGTGCTGTGAATGGTGCTGTAGACATCCAAATTGCTGCATGTACTATGATGTAGTATAATGTGGTAACCAGGTGCTGTGCCACTGTGTATAGATGTAATTAGATTTAGAGCCGACAAAGAGACGGGCGATACTGATCTTTGCTGGCAGTTGAACAAAGCGCTGGCAGTGACAGCAGAGTGGGAAACTTGGCCATGTTGCGACCCTAGACGGTTATGGAGACAGTCATAATTCCAAAGCGCTTCGCCATCCTTGCTTGCTGTTCACGTCGTGACAGGCGTTGCAGTTACGCTGCACGGTGTTCCTTGTTTAGGAATCCAGCAGATTAGTGTGCTACACGTACTGCACTTGAAGATTCTACACGAAACGCATGAATCCAACATGATCTATAACGCGTGGATCCACGCCTGGCATAATGCAGTTACGTCGTATGCGTGTGTATGCCAGGGAACAGAGCATGAAATTCGACTCACACGCGTACGCACACGTAGATCTCTACTCGCCTTCGTGATTGAAGTCTGCCTCTTGCCACGTCTTGGACACTCGGCCTCGAAGTGACGTTAGTTACAAGGTACCATTGAGACGGAGTGGAGGTTCTCGGGCGATATGCTGGTTCGTATAAGAGGTTCGAGTCGAACCTAATATCGAAAAAGGCTAGACAGTCATTTCTACTAGCATCGCTGTTGGAGAAATTGTTCACAAAACGTCTTTGTCAAGTACCGAGCACAGTCTTCTAGCTCTAGACGAGGAAGCGCGGTGCGTGCGACGACCGACGAGGAAAGGTATGGGTAGCTTGTATGAGGAATCGGTGGATAAGCGCGATAAGATTGTGAGTGAGAGTAGCTCATTTTAGTGTGGTAGGGGTTCATCCGATTCCACCTGCGCTCGGGGACTTGACCACGCCGAGGGCTTGCAGGCTGCATGGCCTATTCGATACCGCGAAACGTGAACAAATACCATTTTTGATCCTGTTTGCATGTTGGCCTGTACTCTTCCATTGACTTCGGATACAGAGGACATCGGCTATAGAGTACAGATTCTAAGACCTTGGTATTTTGCTGTGTTGCCATCAACCTCGGGGGGGGGGGGGGGGGTGAGTTATATTAAGAGTCCATACTCTTGGTTATAACTTATAATAAGACTATATTATAATTATAAGAGTCACTCTCGCCAATAACAACCTCAGCAATAACAACAATATCTTCTGGTCTAGAAACCCGTTAAGTGCATGGTTTCAACCTCGCGGATAACAATAAATCAGAAAATAGCATTACGTTTCTCAATCTCATGCATGCCTTGTCCAGGGTCGTTATGCGAGGGGGGGGGGGATTGTAGATTTAGAGGGGGAGCGTGATGCTGAGAACAATGATACAGTCCATTATGCTGAAACACTGGAATTGGCTGACCAGACGTGTGGTTTTGTAGAGAAGTGCTGGCTAGAGGGCATCTATAGCAATAGTACTAGTAGTGTCTGGTTACTCGTGTGCGTAACATCCATATCGCAGGACTTGGTGACTCGTAGCAAGACGTAGACAGTCAGTCGTGCAGGCGGTGCATTGTGACTTGATGTACGTAGCAATAGCCACGTCCCACCACGTCCAGTGGAGTAAATTATATCCACCATAAACACCCTTTTTCAGAGCGGAAATTAAAGTGCGAACACTTGGATTTTAATGACTTGATTGTGACTTTGGTGTGCTCCACGCGATCCCTTGACCGTGCTCGGGTTTCAAAGTAAACAAATACTAGTGTACCACAGAATCTTCGCGACGTCGAATATCTCTGCCCAGAGCTGTCTGTGCATGGATATTTGCACAGACAAGGACCCTGGTGCTGATAGGCACATCGGAAGACTGGTGCGATTTGAATGTGGCCAGACGAGATGTCACACAATCATAATCATTGCTTCACTCGCTGCGATTGCCTTATTACGTACTGACGGATGTGCTCGGTCAAAATGGCACTGGCGGCCAGATTGATGAGCGGATGCAAACGATCGCGGGGCCGGAGCCTGAAAGCTTGGCCCGCTTTAGTGACAGCAGGTAGTACACCCTGGCCACGTAATTTCTGGTGTACCTCCTCTGTCATCGCTTTAGATGTTTTTAGAACATTCGCCTCGTAGCTTCGAGATTGAGATGTACATACCCGATTGTCCTTCGACTGCACCACGTAACTACATTGTATCCCATTCTCCGCTGATTGGTACGCGTAGGTCTACGGGCGAAGTGCAGCACGCTTTGACTTGTACACAAAATCGGGTAGAAACCGGCAACGGAGCGGGAGTTGCTCCCTGACTGGCGATCGGTTGTGCCTAGAACGCCAGGAACTGTCCAAGGACCTGTTTCCGCCCGTCAACCTCTCGTTGGTAGGGATCCAGGATGTGACGTCACTGGCCTGGATTCGTAGAAACTGGAATGTTGACCATACTTAGCGCATGCTCCTAACTACTTGCAATGGCCTCTAAAGTTGATTGACTGGTGTAAACCGCAAGAAGAGCTCTTATGGCTGGGAGGACATTACCAAATTCCAGTAATCCCGCGTGATGAAATAGCAGTGAGGCAGTGGGTGCAGTGTGCGTGTATGTGTGTGTGTGGTGTGTGCGCGCGCGTGTGTGTGTGTGTGTGCGTGTGTGTGTGTGTGTGTGTGTGTGTGTGTGCGCGTGTGGGTGTGTGTGTGTGTGTGTGTGTGTGTGTGTGTGTGTGTGAGAGAGAGGAGAGAGAGAGAGAGAGAGAGAGAGAGAGAGAGAGAGAGAGAGAGAGAGAGAGAGAGAGAGAGAGAGAGAGAGAGAGAGAGAGAGAGAGAGAGAGAGAGAGAGAGAGAGAGAGAGAGAGAGAGAGAGAGAGAGAGAGAGAGAGAGAGAGAGAGAGAGAGAGAGAGAGAGAGAGAGAGAGAGAGAGAGAGAGAGAGAGAGAGAGAGAGAGAGAGAGAGAGAGAGAGAGAGAGAGAGAGAGAGAGAGAGAGAGAGAGAGAGAGAGAGAGAGAGAGAGAGAGAGAGAGAGAGAGAGAGAGAGAGAGAGAGAGAGAGAGAGAGAGAGAGAGAGAGAGAGAGAGAGAGAGAGAGAGAGAGAGAGAGAGAGAGAGAGAGAGAGAGAGAGAGAGAGAGAGGGAGAGAGAGAGAGAGAGAGAGAGAGAGAGAGAGAGAGAGAGAGAGAGAGAGAGATAGAGAGAAAGAGAGACAGAAAGATAGAGAGAGACAGCGAGAGAAGAAAATGAAATCGTCTTGAAGACGCACCACTGCGGTGGGCAAAGTCCATCAGTGTTTTGACCAGTGCACCCTCTGTTCTCCACTCTCTTTGTGTCTGCAGGGAGTGAAAGCTACAACGCCTGAAGCAATCCACCAGGAAGCGGTCAGTCCTGTGCGGGCACTGTCCTGGCATAACAGTTGCAAGACCAGCGCAGAAAGATGGCGGCCACAATGAGATTGTCACTAGTTCCCGAGCTATTGGCCGTGTTATTCACCTGTTATGTGGCTCACTCGCAAGCACAGCCACCCCTCCTGGGCGGGGGCAGTCCCAACCCCGGCCCAGGTCCGGGTGGCCCTAATCCCGGGTTTGGCGGACCGAACGGGGCAGCACCGAACATGGGGCCGCCCAACAGAGGTCCACCGCCAGGATTCGGAGGCCCGATGGCGGGCGCAGGTCCAGGACAGGGTCCTGGAATGGGCCCCGGCCCAGGAGCAGCAATGGGCCCCGGCCCAGGAGCAGCAATGGGCCCCGGAGCAGCAATGGGACCCGGAGCAGCAATGGGCCCTGGACCTGCCCTGGGTCCCGCACCGCCCAACGGTGGACTACTGGCGCCGAATCGTGAGGTCAGCATCAACCTGCAATCGGGTGCTGAGCACACGATGCGCATACAAGGCAGACAGCAAAGCATGTTCTTTGTGCGCGTCAGCAGCTGTGGTACGGAGGGCGCCGACTGGAGGCTGGACAACCCGAGCGGCAATGAGGAGTTCAACCACCAGGAGTCGCAGCAAGAACCGCAGATACAGCAGCCAGTCTTCAAGCGCAGGCGTCGTCAGATCGGCGCCGGGCCCCAGGGCTTCCAGCCCGGACTCGGGGCCGGCCCTGCCCCGGGCAACAGTCCATTCCCCAATGGCGGTCCTAACCCAGGCGGGCCGCCGAACGCGCCTTTTGGCGGTGGAATGGGACCGCCGAACAATGTGGGTCCTGGTCCTGGATTCGACCAGGGCATTGGCGGTGCAAACCCAGCCATCGACTTACCGGGATTCGAGGGTCCCGGCGCGCAACCTGGCTTGTTCGGGGGCCCACCCAACAATCAACAGGCCGGCTTCAACACCAACCTACCGGGCAGAGGCCCGGCCGGTTTCGGCCAGCCCGGCAACGGCGGACCGAACCAGGGCCAACCAGGGTTCGACTCGGGACCGGTGAACTTCCCCAATGCCGCCGCACCAGCACAGCCGGACCGCTATCGCATTCCGGCGGCGTTCGTCCGCAAGCCTCCGCCGCGTCCCATCCCGCCGAACTTCGACATTGAGATTGTACAGCCGCATGAGGACACGGGCATGGGCGCGCCGTTGGGCAACACCATGCAGCATCACGTCGAACAGGCCGACGAAGGCATGTACATGCTCACCCTGAAAAACCCGCACAACACGCCGGCCAGCGTACGCGTGTTCCTCAGCAGCCTCAGCAGCTCCGAGCCGCACCAGCCGCGCATCATGCTGCCCGAGAATCCCAACGTTCGCGTCGACGCCGCCCGCTTCAACGAGCTGTCGCTGTCGTGGCAGCCGGTGGTGGACACCAACGGCAACGAGAGGAACAACATTGACTACTGTGTGCAGTTCAGGGCGGCACCACGCAACACCGGCTTCAACCCCAGCGGCAGGCCCAACATCGGCGTGAATGCGGCACAGGCATGCGGAATGCCAGGGCCGGGCGCCGGCAACAGGCAGCAGCAACAGTGCACGCGTGGCACGCAGCTCACCCTGCAGAGCCTGAGTGCCTCCAGCCGCTACTTCGTGGACCTGACGGCGCGCGACCGCGCCACGCGCCAGCAAGTGCCCTACATCAGCTCCAACGTGTCGACACTGGAGCAGGGAATTTCCCTGCCCAACAACCAGGAGATCAGCAACATGACTATGCCACCGCGGTCCATGCGCACGTTCACGTTTGACACACGCAACACGCCCAACAACCAGGTGGAGTTCATCGTCTTCCCCTGCCAGGGACTGGTCACTTGGGCCGTCATGAGAGACGGCATGGTCGTCGAGACGTTCGAGCCGGATTTCATGGACGACGATAGCTTCAGCGACGACGACAACTTGGGTGACGACCGCTGGGGGGCGGGGGACAACGACGATGCGTTTGAGCAGCCCGACTGGAACGACATTGGAGACAACGACAACATGCCCCCGATGGGAATGGCCGGAGGAGCAGGCATGAACGGACGATTTGGAGGACCGCGTGGCCGCAAGAGGAGGCAGCAGGGAATGGGCGGACCAGGTGGTATGATGGGCCCGAATGGACCGGGTGGTATGATGGGCCCGGGTGGTATGATGGGCATGGGCGGACCAGGTGGTGGTATGATGGGTCCAAATGGACCAGGTGGTATGATGGGCCCGAATGGACCAGGTGGCAACGGAATGTGGCCGGATTCACCGCGAGGCGGGCATATGGGAGGTGGACACATGCGAGGACGTCGACCGCGGTTTAATGCCGGACGCGGCGAGAGTCTCGGCCAGTCTGTCTTCCAGTTTGAGGAGGAGATGCCCACTGGACACATCTACCAGATCGTGGTGTTCAACCAGGACCAGAACCAAGGCGGTCGCTTCAACATCTTTGCCAGCAACAACCCGGAACAGTCGCCGTACCCGAGAATGCCGCAAAATCCACAGCTGCAGGTTACCGACTCCAGCGACACACATCTCAACATCCAGTGGGAACGCAGCGCCTCGCCCAACACCCAGTATTGTGTCATTGCTCAGCAGCTCAACGGCGGTCCCGGCGGTATGGGTATGGGCATGCGCGACGATGGATTCCGCGGCAAGAGGCAAGCATTCGGTGGTCCGGGCAACCCGATGATGCCCGGGGGTCGGGGCCCGTTGGGCCCGCAGCAGTTCGGGGCAGGGCACGTGCCCAGCTCGCCGTGCGAGGTGCAGGGCCGTGAGGCGGCGCTGCAGATGATGAGCAGCGGCATGTGCAGTAAAGAGCCGTCTCGTCGCCTCGGCAACCTACAGCCGCAAGCCCAATACTCCATACAGACGTTTGCCGTCAACGAAGACTCCAGCCTGGCCATGTCCTACGTCGGCGTCATGGCCTACGCCAGCAGTGCGTCTACACTCGTGCCCCAGACCCTCGTCGCTCTTCTGGCGATCGCCCTGTACAAGCTGTTCATGGTGTAGGGTGGCAGACACTGAGTGCCAGCTCACCGTTCAATTCCTCGTTGACATCATGACACATGACTGGACTGGATAATCGTTCGTGTACGCAGATACGCATTGTACACCATACCAACGCACGCACACACACACACACACACACACACACACACACACATACGCACGCACACTTTTACGGATCGATCTTCTCATCACGATTCTGTAACCAGTAATTATATAATTCTTATTGCTGCGTCATCCTGCATGCATCGCATACGCATACTTGACTTGAACCTAGCCAGCGCTGCAGACACGACAGCACTCGGCCAACCTCACACATCACACCGGCATCAGTAACTGACAAAGTTGACCTGATGCTTCACACTCATAATCAATCTGGAGGCTAAACAGTTAAAACTCTCTAGCTCCCTGCACTACTTACACAATACGAAATAAACCTTTTTTTTTTACTAAATATTCGCAAAACTAGCACAATCCTATTTTTACTGAAGGCTATATCGCTGGGGAAATCCAGTCTCCTTTATTCAATACGCCAATAGCCCCCAGAACTCTAGAGCCAAACGTTCTATTTTTCAACTGAAGCACAATAATACTAATCTGATAGCAAGACTCTTCCTGATAGGCTAGAATCTCCTGGCATAACACGCGCAGGATTATTCGACTAGCAAGCAATAGTATGCTGCCACATATACAACTAGTAGTAATAGCTTAGAACAGGCTGGCTTACATGCCTGCCTGGCGTCCCTGCCAGAACGTTCTGTCTAATATGGCATAGCAGAATTATCAGCTTTGCGTCATGATTTGTGCTGTTGTTTTTAACAATCCAGTCTGAACATGGTGTTGTTGTGTCTTTATGCGTAATGTAAATACGATTACATTATTCTACTGATCACCTCTGTGTGTGTGTGTGTGTGTGTGTGTGTGTGTGTGTGTGTGCGCGTGGTGTGTGTACATGGGTGGGTTGGAGGGCATGCATGTGGCCATGTACATGTTATTATTATATCCCGAAAAGTTCCCATTTGACAACTAAATTCCGGGCATCATGGGAGTGAACATGACAAAGGCATACAGTCAGACCTCGCTTTACCGCACACATCCGTTTCCCACAAAATATCCAGATAGGCGAGGGAACTGGATAACCGAACACTGGTTATGTTGGATGCATCACGCATGCTGTAAATCTGTAACCAGCTATTTTCCTCCGGATGGCGAGGGATCCGGATAAAAGAGGATCGGATAAGCGAGGTCTGACTGTACACACATTCACAACGACACCAACTGAGAGAGAGAGAGAGAGAGAGAGAGAGAGAGAGAGAGAGAGAGAGAGAGAGAGAGAGAGAGAGAGCGAGAGAGAGAGAGAGAGAGAGAGAGAGAGAGAGAGAGAGAGAGAGAGAGAGCGAGAGAGAGAGAGAGAGAGAGAGAGAGAGAGAGAGAGAGAGAGAGAGAGAGAGAGAGAGAGAGAGAGAGCGAGAGAGCGAGAGCGAGAGAGCGAGAGCGAGAGCGAGAGAGAGAGAGAGAGAGAGAGAGAGAGAGAGAGAGAGAGAGAGAGAGAGAGAGAGAGAGAGAGAGAGAGAGAGAGAGAGAGAGAGAGAGAGAGAGAGAGAGAGAGAGAGAGAGAGAGAGAGAGAGCATCACGTATGCTGTAAATCTGTAACCAGCTATTTTCCTCCGGATGGCGAGGGATCCGGATAAAAGAGGATCGGATAAGCGAGGTCTGACTGTACACACATTCACAACGACACCAACTGAGAGAGAGAGAGAGAGAGAGAGAGAGAGAGAGAGAGAGAGAGAGAGAGAGAGAGAGAGAGAGAGAAAGAGAGAGAGAGGAGAGAGAGAGAGAGAGAGAGAGAGAGAGAGGGAGGGAGGGAGGGAGGAGAGAGAGAGAGAGAGAGAGAGAGAGAGAGAGAGAGAGAGAGAGAGAGAGAGAGAGAGAGAACACACCATATGCTCCGTACAATGTCGTGCCAGATACCCACAACCTCACACAAGACCCTGAACTCAAACCACTTCTCGCATCTCGCACATGAACGAGGGACAAGACAGGAGATTGGCTCGTGGGCCCTATCATTTCATGGACCAAAAAAACATCATAAACAGAATGATCACTTTAGTACGGTAAAAATATGGAAACAATTTGTCAGCCTACGAAAATCGGAAAATTAAACACCCTAAACATGCAAAGGTGATGGGCATTTCCTTGTCATGGTGGTGTTGTGTACGGGGAACTGGTTCATGTGTGAGAGCAGGGGCTGCCTATGCTGATTGCACAGGGTTACACTGGTTGCACTAGAGACCTGCTATGGACTGCGGGCACATAGATAGCTGGTCAGAGTGCACAAAGATAGCCGGTCTGTGTGCAGCATGGAGATGTAGCATCCCCAGCAGGCTGTGCCACTCAGGGCAGTGTGGTGGTTTGCAGAACTTCGCACTACACAGTGGTGCGTATCACAGCGTATCGCAGTATGATCAGGATCAAGAATGGACAGTGCGCCGAGGCACAGATGTAGGCAAACATACCCTCAAGTCACACCAGCCGTGTGTTACAGGGCATACAGCACCACTTGCACACACACACACACGTACACGTACACGGATACCTAGTGCAGGCTGTACACGTCCATGTGTCGGCATGATGCAGTCAAACGTACACAAACACACACGCACACACCTTGGCGCAAAGGAGACAGCTACAAAGCACGGCACGCCAAAAACAGCACCACTTTGGCCAACGCTCGTCTAGACATTCTTGTCCTTGACGGTGGACGGGGAGGGCAGGCGTGCGGGCATAGCGAGCAGCGACTCCTCCGCATTCTCCAACGCCCATTGATGATTGACAATCTGCAGAGCTTCCCATTCACTCTGAATACAAACACAATCCCAACAGAGGACATAAACATATATTAATTTTTAAAGTAAAAAAGCCCGCACGTCCGCCCTACCACCGGCTATATAATCGTGTTGAGAAACTTCCAATTTGAAAACACGGGAAGTTGTGGGCAAAGTACATGCAACTCTCCCACATACAGAAGCCAACTCAAAAGATGCACCAGTTTCTCAATTCACCAAACTTACTTGGGAAAATCCTTCTCAGAATCTCACCAGTGCCTGAATATGTTACGTTCTTTTGTCTGATGATTGGTTTTTTACCATGAAACTCTGAGTTACAGCAAAATTGCTCTGTTCATAAACATGGCTAAACTTCACCTAGGGTTCCCAGTAGAAATGCAGTAGCCTGTTGGTGACTCCCCTAGTAGAATAATAAAAACTACTACTACTACTACTACTACTACTACTACAACAACAACAACAACAAAACGCCCTACTTTCCTTAGTGTAGCTCTTGCGAAAACGTTCTATGGGGTGGGAGACCGGGGAGATAAAGGAAAAAAAGGCAATGCAGAGATGTCTGTGTGTAACAATGAGTAAGAGTGCAGCACAAGAGACACAAGAGTGACAAGACGCATTCTGAAAACTGACCTTGAACGCTTTGGTCGAGTCTGGGGCCATACCCATAGAGCCAGTCATCATTGGATCTTGCATCATTGCTCGACTTTGGTCAGCAGCTGAACAAATAAACGAACACACACACACAGACGCACGCGCGCGCACACACACAGACACACACACACACACACACACACACACACACACACACACACACAGACACACACACACACACACACACACACACACAGTTGATACTCTGCATTGTATTGAGCAGTTGGAATATTTCACACTCCGCTCATCACCCATTTGTACAGCGGTAGTTGGAACGCGCAGTGTCCTGCAGTCTGGCTACTGTACTGAGCAGAGAAAAGGTCCCTTGAGCGGTCGTCGGCTTACACAGGTTTCACTGTATCGTTACAGTCAACTTCGCTTATAACCACACTCGGCGGGGCAGCAGAAAAGTGTCCTTATTCGCCAAGGGTCGTTATACCCGAAGTCGCATTCAATGTATTACAGTTGGATGGGACTTTGCTCTGGGCATGGAAATTCTGTCGTTATTCGCGAATTGTCGTTATATCCGCAGTCGTTGTTAGCCAAGTTGACAGTATTTTAATATCGGCTCAACAGCCGAGTGTTATCAACAATACCCCATTTTTTGGGGCAGGGCACGTACCTGGTCTAGAAAAAGGCTTATGAATATAACTAATACTTACAGTTATCAGCACCAAGCACTAGTGCATACATGCTACGCAGACCAAACACGTTGAGAAAGTACCACGACATCGAGCTGACCCTGTGAAAACAGGAAACCCCAGGACACGTGTGCATTGTACGCGTCAAACATGTTAGTGGATTCACAATACAGCACAGCACAGCACACAGAATCAGGTACACACACACACACACACACACACACACACACACACCTTTGGACCTTTGGAAAGCCCATCGCCGAAGGCGATGATAGCTATTGCACACACACACACACACACACACACACACACACACACACACACACACACACACACACACACACACACACCACACACACACACACACACACACATGCTCGCACACACACACACAAACACACAGACAGACACACAAACAAAAACTACTTGAGCAGCAGACATGTGTGTCACCACTACTACATGTACATTGTACTTCAAAGTACATGATTGTATCAGCTATCTGTGCTCTCTACAGTGCGTTTTTTTAAAACAGACATTTGTCGATTTTGATTTTTTAGTTTGTTCTCATTCCAAATTTGAAATTTTTTCTTCACAGCTGCGTTTGTGTGGGTCTTGGATCGAAGAAAATTAAGTTTGGGAATCGGAATAATAACAATTGTCAAAGTTAGATATTCGGACGGGTTTGGGCTGAAAATCCGGTTTTAAATGGTTTTCAGTGGATTTTGATTTAAAAACGAAAGTTTTAGCCAGGAAAGCTCATCACGTGCATGGTGTCCGCCAGAGTTCGAATCCAGTACAGTTCATCCTGATTCTTTTTTTCTCTTCTTTTTTTTGGTACAGCGCATGCATGTACACGTACATGACTAGACTGTGCAGTTGTGCACTGCTGTCTGCAGTTGTCCCAACCTTTGTAGGAAACCAGTGAGTCGTGGTTTTTCACGACTTACTGTGGCAAACTGTACTGAATAATTCAAATGCTGTATTGCAATTAGCTCAATAAATCAAAACATTCCAGCATGCATGTAGGAAACTTCCCTCGATCACTGAAAGAATGCAGTGAAAATTCAAACACCACAACAAATCACAAGGGCAATTCACACAGCACCCATAAAGAGACTAAAAGGAAGCAATACATGAGCGGTTTTACAAACACACACACACACACACACACACACACACACACACACACACACACACACACACACACACACACACACAAACACAAACACACAATGCAAATAGGTCACAGTTGTGTCTGGTTCAACATCTGCGAATAGTAGAAGACCAGCGAGCGTCGAAACGGCCCCAATAATTCCGTGTTTTGTGTTGCACTTGTGACGACAGTATTACACAGTGAACAGATGTGCTAGGACAGCCGACGACGTATATCATCGTTGGCGTCGGCCTCGTCGGTCTCCAGTCAGGAACACATCGGCGCAGTTTTTCACGAATCCGTCCCGTCCACCAGTATGCAGAACAATAAAGCGCTTGCCTTTACCTGATGGTGCTTCATTTGGTTGCTTGCCTATACACTCCTGTCACCATTGTCGTACCACATCCTAGTAACTGTGTGATGCGCATTGACCCACGTGTCATCCAGGTATGTCTCACAGGTAGCGATGCCGCCATGACACAATCCCGTGCCGTTCCATCATCATGTGTGTGATACCTCTGGTCTTGCCACACTGGAATCCCATGGAACGCAACATTTTCCAAGAGCTAGTTTTGCTCATGTCTGGAAAATCGTCGATGCTTTCTATGCAGCGAGCAGGAACTTTGTCCAGTGTTGGGTGCTCCTTCGCAGCATAGAATCCGTAAATTACTTCTTATACAGTCCAAAGCAAATCCGTCAGGGTTGAGTGGTTTTATGGCACGCGTCTCACATTGGGGATTGTCACTCTCGTTACCTTCATCACTGGAGACAGGCAAGGCCAACGCAGCACGCTGATTTTCGCCGTCAGCATCCCTGGTACATCTGTTCATGGTGGAAATGCTGACGCCACACGCAACAGCAGCATGACGAATGGAATACTTGGGACCAATTCGATGCCCAGCCACTGTTCTCCTCGTCTTCGCAAAAATTGTAAAACAGACACCACCATGTAGATTCTACCATGGCCCGTTCGCGCTTTGTTATATGTGGCATGTCGAGAGAACTTAGTTGCCACGAACGAAAACACACTCGAGAAAAAGCAAAATAGGGCCACAGAGCAGTCAGCAACAAAATGATTCCTCCGGCCGCGAGGAGCTCGAAGGACACTCTGAACAAAATGGCGAAATGCCACGAGTCACACCTGGTTTTCGAATTTCGCGCGCAGATTTTCGTGACGCAACTCGCATGACATTTTCTCAAAAGTGGCCTTGAGTACGTTCTCAAGGATTTCAGAGTCTATTATAAAAAAACGCACTGTAGTGTGGGTTCAGAGGGTAGGGGAGCTGTTGCTAGACCTCCTTCTCAACTCTGAAGTCTGGACACATTTCACAGGCCAGCACAGTACTCAGCAGTATAGTTCACCAGGCTCACAATGTATATAGAGCATACGCATACAGTAGAAACCTTTCTTCCTCCACAGGGTAAGGAGTAGACAAAGTGTTTCTGGAGGTACCGAAGCACTGCCCCAATCCAGTACGGTCAGGGGACGTGAACCGAACCAAGACTGAGTTCAGCTGCGATGCACGCCAATTACGGGAGAGAGAGGGAGAGAGAGAGAGAGAGAGAGAGAGAGAGAGAGAGAGAGAGAGAGAGAGAGAGAGAGAGAGAGAGAGAGAGAGAGAGAGAGAGAGAGAGACACACACACACACACACACACACACACACAGAGACACACACACAGAGACAGAGACAGTAGCCGGCACGATAGTGTGCTAACAACTCGCTAGGCCACATTTCATCAAGCAGCACAGTCACTTACCAGGACGCGTCCAATGTGGTGAGCTCTACACCACGCTGCAGCATTGGCTTGAAACGCAGTGTCAGTGGAAACGGTACCTTGGCTATACACACACACACGCACAAGCACACGCAGACAGACACACAGACAGACAGACACACACACGAGTAAACACCCATGAACAAAGACACACACACACATTTGTATACCTACTTGCTCGCTACCAGAAACCGGTCATGTGGGTTTCCCCGGGGGATGGGAGAGAGATTCAAAACTAATATTGTAAAGATGACTCACTTGCCTACTGAACGGCTCAATGGCTGACACCGCCTGAAAATCCCCAAACTCTAGGTGGACCTGGAAATGATCCTACTCAGTGGCTCACCATAACACAGTGCGTGGGAACACGGCGAATAAAAAGAAAAAGAGTTCACAGCACAAAATGTATCTGTCCTGGGATACAACTGCATATACCCCGCTCCCTATAAAGGTAATACCGTTAAAAGTCGTGTATAAAAGCTGCGGCTTATGACTTTGTGGGGGGAATTCTGCATGCTTCTCAGTATATGAGACAGGCTTCTATACAAGACATGTATTTCTATGTATGTCAACACTAAAACCAGGCGTGTGTGCCACCAGTCCATCTCGAAAAACCAGGCTTGTATTGAAAACAGGCTTCTAAAATAAGACAGGCTGTTATACAAGACACTACGGTACTGGATACATCCTAACATGTACTAGTGACGGTTTGTAAATCAGGGTGGACAGGATTATAGCAAGAGTGCAAAACCAAGAGTGTGCAACTCCTATCTCTAGCTGCGATGGGTTCACCCACGGCGGAATTTTTCAATTGCGTCATTCTTTGGCAGAAGTATGATGAAGTGCATATGCTTTCCCGGCGAATTCCCGCGCTTGTTTTTTACATAGTAGATACGGTGAGAGTTCATCAGGTTCAAGACACATCGATCTGTCGTCCGTTGCTCTCCTTCGACTACCGTAGCTGTAATGTACAAATTCTTTGTATTTTGATCTCTGGCTATGCATGATAGCATCAGTGAGCCAAATCGCCGCCAAAGACGGATGTCATAACAAAATTCCGAAGCGAGCTGGGGATCGTCGAGTTGCACAATCTTGGTTATGTACTCTTGATCATAGGGATAAATAGCACCAAGAGTACATAAAAACCAGAGTGTGCAGCCTGGGGCATTTTCTACTATGGGTGTCTATCACGGCGGAATTCCGTGATGACATCATATTTGGTGCAGATCCGAGGCGGGAAGTGGTATAGTGCGTACAACTGAGCTGCAGTTGTGCAGAAAGAGACCTGCTTGAATCCTGCTTGTACGCACTACATCACTAAAATGATGTAATGACGGAATTTCGCCGTGACAGCAGTACATCAGAGCCGCACACTCTGGTTTTCATGTACTCTTGATAGCACCAAACAAGCACATCTGTACACACGCCCGCACGCACACACAGACACATATCCCCCCCCCCCCCCACACACACACACCACACGGGGCGACAGCACATAGACAGATAGAACCGGCACACGAGTGCACATGCACAGCCTTGTCTCTTACTGGTGACAAACCCGGAGAATGTCCAGTTAATCCAGCTACCGATCACAATCATGGGCAAGATATTGGTTAGGTTTCCCTTCATCATATCCATCATCATAGTCGGGTCTGTAAATACCACAGAAACAGACACGGCAAGAGGAGGGGAGAGAGAGTGGACAGGAGGAAACAATGATGAGAAGTACATGCTAGTCTGAACTACATGTACGACCTACAAGAAGTTGGGTACGCAAAGCAGACGTCGACATGAGTCGTCAGGAAGGAAGTGACAGGCCTACCCTCTTCAGTAGATAGCTTGTCTTATATCGAGTAATATCTACTATCCTCACGTGAATGTGCACGTTTAAGACATCAGGGGATTGTTGATCGTTGTCTACTAATGAGGTTTGTCTTGTGACCAGTGTTGTACCAACCAGGGTAGACCTGTATGGCAAAGGTCTGGTTCACTAGTAGAGCAGCAGTTGAGCAACACAGCTGAGCAAATAGAAAGTGCCTCTTTACCTCCCATGGGGTTCTGCATGCGTGGCTTCCGCTTGGTTGTTTTGAAGAATCCAGTCTGTGAGTTATTCAGGTAGTGCTTGCGTGCCAGGAACCCCTATAACAAGCATTCCAAGGATACACACACACACACACACACACACACACACACACACAAAACACGACCACATGAACACACGCACATGAACACACACCCACACACGAACACGACCACATGTGCATACATACATACACATGCACACCCACGTGCACACTCAGACAGACACACACTCAGACAGACACGCACAGGTACACCCACACACACGCACGCACACACGCACGCACACACACCACACACACACACACACACACACACACACATAAACACACAGACAGATTATCAGCATGTATGTAGCTCGGTTCTTGATGCATGTGGCACAATTGTCACATCTCTCGTACCTTTCTACATCAAAGGCAATGAATGCAGTTTAGGCGAACAGTGCTAAACGAAATCACGTTCCATCGTTGACAACAAGTATGAAATCAGCCACTGACACACACTAGCAGCCCAGGTCGGCTACAGGGCGGCCCCATGATTACCCAATGCCCGATTTAAGTACAATAGGCGGAAACCTCCACACATTATGTCCGGTTATTCACTGGCCACTTATCCCACTGGCAACAGACATCCAGCTAGGCTAGCAAAGTGGTCTCTTCTGCAGAAGAAGAGTAGTTTATGAGCGGTACACTCTAGTGAGAAGTGCATGAGGTTGAATACTGGACATTCCATGAGGTCTGGCACTTGTTCAAAAAACTGGTATGTCACTGGACACTCCTTGAGCTTCGGAGTTAAAAAATAAACAAAAAAAATGGTACGACCATGCCCGAAGCCCACCATACCAGTGGCGCCAGCCATGATCAGACCGGTGTTGGAACGACAACAATTTACAGCGCATGGAAATAAACATCACAGTGGAGTGAACGCTCACACACATATAGGCATACTGTGCAGTCTTGTCTTTCTCTGTCTGTCTGTCTGTCTCTATTTCTCTTTCTCCCTCCCTCCCCCTCCCTCCCTCCTCTGTCTCTGTCTCCCTTTACGGTCTTACCTCCTGGGGGATATGTGAACCATTCTCACGCAATAGACGACTTTTGATCAAGATTTGACTGAGCAAGGACAGGAAAGAAATTGAAAACAGGATTAAAGGCAAAGACAGGAAGTATTGAGAGATATTGTGCTCGTGTGTATGCTGATAGCCACTTCTCTGTTTTTTTGTTCTCGCCCATCTGAAAGTGTTAGAAGCTATTTATATTAGAGAGGTTCCGGGGTACGATTTTCCGCGCCAAAATCCGTATGGGCTCTACGGATTTTTCGAGGCGTGCTCCATACGATTTTCCGGCACGGAGGATCCGTGTGGACTGGCTTTCATACGAACCATGTTTCGTATGGAGATTTTGCGTCATCGGGTGCAGAAAGATTTTTCGCGTACAAATTTGGTACGAGAAACATCGATTTTCGGCGGGTAGTTTTGATTTCGGTACAAATTTTCAAAATAAAAAGGCATAGCGCGGGAATGTGACGTGTTTGCGATCGTAACCTAGGCAATGACGGCAAACACATAAGTTCCGTACTCCGGAACATTTCACTGCTCGAAAACGACGTATAAAAAATCCGTAGCGCCTCTACGGATTTTGGTACGAAAAATCGTACTCCGGAACCTCTCTATTTACACTACCTAGCCACCTTTGTGTAAACAAAAGAAAAATGTAATACCTCTCAAGTTCTCAAGAGTCAAATGTCTTGCCCCCGATCTTAGACCTGTCACCAATGGCAACATCGTATTTACATCCAGTAATTCAAGTGGCAGAGTCTTCAATTCAGGAACAAAGTGAGCAAATGCCTCAAACTCAAACTGCAATAGACTTTCGAGCCGTTGATTGCAGTTGGTTGTTTATGAGATTATCAAGAGATACCCTTGTTCAGGTGGAGAAGGCTTTGTTAGTGGCTTCTAATGCTGCCGTTCGCAAACTGAAGAGGGGTGCAGTAACAGGACAGGCAAGGGCTGCCCTGAAGAGGGGTGTTTGGCCTGATGACGAGATAATCAACGCATTTGTTGAATGCTTGATGAACCCCACCAACAATCTGATGGGCCGACGCACTGTGTTAGCCATTCCAACATTCGCATTCACAGACGACAGGAAAGCGACTCGTATCATCAATGTGTGGACAATATTTAAGGATCAGGTTGAATTCAACTTCATCATAATGTCTTTACATTTCACTGTACACTGGGCACTGATGGTAATGGACACTAAGGCCCACGTTATTTACCATTATGACTCCACTAAAACCAGCAATCCGACTGTACATGCTGCAACAGCCATGGAACTCATTGGCCCATCTGGACAAGTTTGGGAACAGGTTAAGGTGGATGACTTGCCGCAACAAAGAAATGTGTACGACTGCGGAGCCTTTGTTTGCCTGTCTCCAGGGTATCATATGTTCGGGAAGCAGCTCGTGGACGTAAGACAAGATACCGCTGCCATCCGGCACTGGATATGTGCGCATGTACTTCAGCAGCACATGCCCAAGCATGCAGCATCTTAGGTCAAGAAGGCCAGCACACCGATTGGAGTGAGCTCTCAATAGTCAAATGTCTTGCCCCCGGTCTCAGACCTGTCACCAATGGCAACATCGGATTTACATCCAGTAATTCAAGTGGCAGAGTCTTCAATTCAGGAACAAAGTGAGCAAAGGCCCCAAACTCAAACTGCAATAGACTTTCGAGCCGTTGATTGCAGTTGGTCGTTTATGAGATTGTCAAGAGATACCCTTGTTCAGGTGGAGAAGGCTTTGTTAATGGCTTTTAATGCTGCCGTTCGCAAACTGAAGAGGGGTGCAGTAACAGGACAGGCAAGGGCTGCCCTGAAGAGGGGTGTTTGGCCTGATGACGAGATAATCAACGCATTTGTTGAATGCTTGATGAACTCCACCAACAAGCTGATGGGCCGTCGCACTGTGTTAGCCATTCCAACATTTGCATTCACAGACGACGGGAAAGCGACTCGTATCATCAATGTGTGGACAATATTTAAGGATCGGGTTGAATTCAACTTCATCATAATGTCTTTACATTTCACTGTACACTGGGCACTGATGGTAATGGACACTAAGGCCCACTTTATTTACCATTATGACTCCACTAAAACCAGCAATCCGACTGTACATGCTGCAACAGCCATGGAACTCATTGGCCCATCTGGACAAGTTTGGGAACAGGTTAAGGTGGATGACTTGCCGCAACAAAGAAATGTGTACGACTGCGGAGCCTTTGTTTGCCTGTCTGCAGCGTATCATATATTCGGGAAGCAGCTCGTGGACGTGAACGTCAGACAAGATTCCGCTGTCATGCGGCACTGGATATGTGCGCATGTACTTCAGCAGCACATGCCCAAGCATGCAACATCTTAGGTCAAGAAGGCCTGCACACCGATTGGAGTGAGCTCTCAATAGTCAGATGTCTTGCCCCAGGTCTCAGACCTGTCACCAATGGCAACATCGTATTTACATCCAGTAATTCAAGTAGCAGAGTCTACAATTCAGGAACAAAGTGAGCAAAGGCCCCAAACTCAAACTGCAATAGACTTTCGAGCCGTTGATTGCAGTTGGTCGTTTATGAGATTATCAAGAGATACCCTTGTTCAGGTGGAGAAGGCTTTGTTAATGGCTTTTAATGCTGCCGTTCGCAAACTGAAGAGGGGTGCAGTAACAGGACAGGCAAGGGCTGCCCTGAAGAGGGGTGTTTGGCCTGATGACGAGATAATCAACGCATTTGTTGAATACTTGATGAACTCCACCAACAATCTGATGGGCCGTCGCACTGTGTTAGCCATTCCAACATTCGCATTCACAGACGACGGGAAAGCGACTCGTATCATCAATGTGTGGACAATATTTAAGGATCGGATTGAATTCAACTTCATGATAATGCCTTTACATTTCACTGTACACTGGGCACTGATGGTAATGGACACTAAGGCCCACTTTATTTACCATTATGACTCCACTAAAACCAGCAATCCGACTGTACATGCTGCAACAGCCATGGAACTCATTGGCCCATCTGGACAAGTTTGGGAACAGGTTAAGGTGGATGACTTGCCGCAACAAAGAAATGTGTACGACTGCGGAGCCTTTGTTTGCCTGTCTGCAGCGTATCATATATTCGGGAAGCAGCTCGTGGACGTGAACGTCAGACAAGATTCCGCTGCCATGCGGCACTGGATATGTGCGCATGTACTTCAGCAGCACATGCCCAAGCATGCAGCATCTTAGGTCAAGAAGGCCTGCACACCGATTGGAGTGAGCTCTCAATAGTCAGATGTCTTGCCCCAGGTCTCAGACCTGTCACCAATGGCAACATCGTATTTACATCCAGTAATTCAAGTGGCAGAGTCTACAATTCAGGAACAAAGTGAGCAAAGGCCCCAAACTCAAACTGCAATAGACTTTCGAGCCGTTGATTGCAGTTGGTCGTTTATGAGATTATCAAGAGATACCCTTGTTCAGGTGGAGAAGGCTTTGTTAATGGCTTTTAATGCTGCCGTTCGCAAACTGAAGAGGGGTGCAGTAACAGTACAGGCAAGGGCTGCCCTGAAGAGGGGTGTTTGGCCTGATGACGAGATAATCAACGCATTTGTTGAATACTTGATGAACCCCACCAACAATCTGATGGGCCGTCGCACTGTGTTAGCCATTCCAACATTCGCATTCACAGACGACGGGAAAGCGACTCGTATCATCAATGTGTGGACAATATTTAAGGATCGGGTTGAATTCAACTTCATGATAATGCCTTTACATTTCACTGTACACTGGGCACTGATGGTAATGGACACTAAGGCCCACGTTATTTACCATTATGACTCCACTAAAACCAGCAATCCGACTGTACATGCTGCAACAGCCATGGAACTCATTGGCCCATCTGGACAAGTTTGGGAACAGGTTAAGGTGGATGACTTGCCGCAACAAAGAAATGTGTACGACTGCGGAGCCTTTGTTTGCCTGTCTGCAGCGTATCATTATATTCAGGAAGCAGCTTGTGGACGTGGACGTAAGACAAGATTCCGCTGCCATGCGGTACTAGATATGTGCGCATGTACTTCAGCAGCACATGGACCATCTTAGGCCAAGAAGGCCTACACACAAGACAGAAATTCGAGCCGTTCAGAATCCTCAGCTGCCAGAGCTCAGCCGACTAGCGAGGCCATACGGACACGAGCCGCTGCCAGCAAGTTCCAATTCCAACTTGCAGGATTTCATAAACGACGGCCGTGTGTAACTCTCTCTCTCTCTCTCTCTCTCCCTCTCTCTCTCGTTTCGTTCTTTATACTCTGCAGTTACATTTCACATGTTTGGTGTGAAACTTCTTATTGTTACGTTAATTCTGTTCTCCGGCCAATGCCCGTGGACAAGACTAGATAAACAAGAGTGTGCAACTCCGGATCTCTCCTGCACAATCTGCAGATACCCCGGCCCACGGCGGAATTTTTTGTTGACGTCAGAGCAGTGTGAGAGCACGTGCTGGGCACCGACCTTGTAATGTAAAGCCCGGCCAAGTGCACGAGGCGAAACTTTCCAAAAGACGCACAGCGCGTGCGTCGTAGAAAAGATTACGTCAACAAAACAATTCCACCGAGAGCGAACCCATCCAGAGTTGCGCACTCTGGTTTATATACTCTTGCCATGGAGTGCCGTGAATCTGTATCCTAATAAAGATATTATTATCATTATTTTAGAATTGCGATCAACAGAACGAGCTGAACCGACATTTTCACAAAGGCTTTTATTGTATTCAAAAAACGAGTGGATACGAAGGCAGTGAAGAACATGGAAGAAAGAAAAATGTGATATGGAAGAAATGATGAACAAAAAATTGCACTTTGGACAAAGAGTTTGTGAAAATGTCGGTTCAGCTCGTTCTGTTGATCGCAATTCTAAAACTATTGTCGCCTCGACGCCTATTAGTATTTACATATTAGTATTATTATTATTATTATATCACAAATCTGCGCTACACTCGGTATTATGACATTATTTATTCATGTGTATGTCATGCTGAAGTCTTGCTGTTTTCCAGCTCTCAGGCCAGAGCATGCGCAGCGAGCCAGTGGCTCCTTTTTGCTGCCTTTTTTGCTTTTGCTCTCACTTGTCTCAAATAAAGTTTTTTTGGTGACACTGATTTCAAGTCACCTTTCAAGTAAACAAGACAATGCCGTTGCGAGAACCGGAACACTTCCAAATTGAGTCGGCAATACTTAATCGTGCGTGGCTAGAAGCTCTCCCACTCCATAGTCCAAAGTTGCACAGCATGCAGCCATGAGCTATGATTTGTACGTGCAATTTCTGCGTGCAGTTTCATTCACGCAAGAAGGACAGAAATTGAACTTTTGCTGAAAGATACTCGCAGAGAGCATTCAAATTTTTCAATGTATTGACTGCAAGAACAGATTGTACTTTAGATGTGTCTCGCCACAAACAAACAAAAACAAACCAAAAAAAAAACAAGCAAAAAACATGTGAACAAGCTCCAGCATCTGACCTGTCTGTGACCTGCTCTCGGTCTGTCTTTTTCTCCGACTGTAGCAGCAGTACGACGTGATGGCGAATTAGTCCAACGAAGAACGTTATCAGCACAATGGGTAAAATCACCCAGATGCGAATGTCGGGGTCGAGCAATATTTCCGCCATGGTGCGGATTTCAAGCTGCTATCCTGCGGGCTATCGCAACCAACAACTAAACTCACTCCCCAGGTCCTTTACCGCTTACCAAAACTACATGTAGCTACAGTACGCGTCTAAACGATCGCAAGATTCAGTTCTTCTTGCACTTTTGCAAGTTTGGTGCTTTGCATTTGCATGATTTGGTGTCCTGATCCTGTTCAATTTTTTGTTGGCTGCATGCATCGTTTTGTGAAAATGCTTTGTAAAAAACCACAAAAAAGTGTCGAAAACATTTTTTGGAAATTCAGTGTATGACGTCATGAGCTGTACCGTATTTTCTAAAAAGCCCTGGCAATAGCCAATAGACCAACCCCGAAAAGATTGTCTGGGTTCGTGAAAGGGGGCACGCGTGCAAGCCAGCACTTGTGAAGTGCATCGTTTTGTATTCAGTTTGTGTGTGTCAGCTCATGGCGGAGGAGAGAGAGACTTTTGCTCGCCGAGCTGAAGCTAAAGGATTTGATGGAGTCCTGCCAGCAGCTAGTCAAAGGACCTTCGGTACCTTAGGCAGACCCTGACGGAGTTTGGAGGCCAGCAAGCTCTCGGTGAGGAGAGAAACATTCGCGTGGCGATGGACTCTCCGTAAAAAATGCAAGCTACATAGCGCCGACATACTGCAACAGGCTACGATTTCAGCAAACTAACTCGATCTGCCGCTTCACAAAGTTCAACTATTTACAAGTCCTGACTGTTGTAGTCTGAAGCTGGACTCTCATCGCCCACCTACAGGTAGCTTTTGGAGCTGATGGATTTCCCGACTTGGACTCCTTCCGCAAACTCTCGCAATATTACTACAGTGTATGCTGTGTTTCCGCAAGCTCGTGTCGACATGTCACCTATTGTACATGTACCGGGTCGCGGAGGAGCTTGACGACCTCCGCTGACTCCAGGTTTCCGAAATACTGCCGTCGTCTTCGTTGATGTCGCTGGTGACATTCTCCCCTTGCAGGACGTGCGCATAGTTGTCGTCCCGGGGGTAAAGACTATGTTGTCTTTCGAAATAGTTCTTCATCACGCTCGCGCGAATGATGTTTCTCATCATGAACTCGTTCCGACGGTGTGACACGGCGATGGTCTTTGGCGGGGCACTGGCTTGGCGAAAACGATATCTTCTTGTGCAATATAACACTGATCGGCTGCAGATGAGTACAGTCACTTCGTGGTTGGTCCTATAGGAGGGCAGCTGCCAGGAAAGAGGCAGAACTCATCGAAGACGGAGCGCTCGCAACAAACAATAGCACTCGAAATATCTCGTAAGATTTAGGGCCTATCGCTTTGAGCCACAGCGCTCACAGCCTTGCCTACTTCATCAAAGTGAGCTCTACATGTTCGTTGACCTCTTCACACTACACAGAAGAGCGAAACAAGGATTATATGTCTTAGCATTTCAACTCCAACAGCAGACCATTACCAGTGCGAGAGAGAAAACTACAAAGGGCTTTCTGTCGCATCGTCTCTCTTGCATGCAACTAACGAGAAAACCGTGTACTTACCCTCGCATTCACACGCGAACTATCAAACACGTCCTGTGCCGCATGCTGATCAGGTAGTGCCATGTATGTGTTGTACAGTGTACTCTCAGTTGACATGCCCCCTTTCGAACCCAGACAATCTTTTCGGGATTGGTCTATTAATAGCCCATGGCATGGGCCCAGTCTCCAAAACTACAAGTAGGGAGGTTCTGCGTGAAACGTAGAGAAATCACGTAGAGAGCAGGTGTCTGGGTTAGAGTCTACGGCTTCGCGTGTTTTGGCTCCAGATTTCTACGCGGAGATGGGGTTCTCTACACGGTGTGTCCGGGCTTTTGAGCAGATCTTCGATTCAACGATTGGTTTCAGTGCGGTGCGCGTCATATCGCCAAGCGCGCCATGCAGGGTGGCCACCAATTATGTTGTCGGTGCAACCAGGGAGTACAATACAGTACTACTCCCTGGGTGCAACGGCAAAGGCTCCTGTACTGCTGTGTTGGCTGTGCTTGTGTCAAGGGTGGACGGAACTGCCGAAACTGCGGCCCTGCTCAAAATGGAAGGTGCAAGAACCAACCACCCGCGGCGAGCCAACCATCTTCGCAGTGTACGGGTACGGGCGATACGGTAACGGCGGCTGGGCCTCGGGCCAGCGGCAGTGTTGTGAGTACGGGTGTGCAGGGTTTGCAGACCCCGAGGAAGGCAACAACCGCTGAGGAGATTGCCTCAGCTGCGCTCTCCGCGGCGCTGTCGACGACTCCTGTCTCGATATCGAGCTCCCAGCAATTTGCATGGGACACGCTGGAAGGTGACACCGCGAGCAATGCCAATGACTCTGACATCCACGAGGAAGTGGCCTCAGACAGTCAAGCAGCCCAGCTGCTCGCCACATTGGATGCCAGCCAGCGTGAGGATCGAATCGCTGCAGACGCACACGTTTCACTTCCTCCACATGTGGAATTTCCCATTTCACAAGCAATGGAAAATTGTGTAGTGAAGTGGGAATTGTATAAGGAGTTGGAGGTGAGATATAACTATGTCTAGCCCTCGCGATTTACGCGATTTCATGCTCGAACACAGCATTTTTTTAAAGTTCAATATTCTAATGAAGCTGTACTTGATGCAGCTCATCCAAGGCCCTTCAGGCCTATTTTCATGGAGAACAAACCCAAACAGGGTGGGTGGGTGGGACATAGTTATATCTCACCTCCAACTCCTTATACAATTCCCACTTCACTACACAATTTTCCATTGCTTGTGAAATGGGAAATTGCATGTCGGAGTTTCCGGTGAGATATAACTATGTCTTGTTTAAAGTCGGTTCCGCACCCTGAGCGGAAACAAGAAACTATCACACTGTCCACACAAGGACTTAGTGAAAGTTCTAGTAAAAGGTGCGTGGCATGATAAACAAGCATAATCAGCCCACACCATGCCAGGCACAGACCACCGAAAGACCATCACTGAGTACAGATGGAATTATCATAAAACTTACGCACGGAACGGCGAGTGGAGTAGATCATACCAAAATGGAATACAACTTAGCATTGTCAACTATGCAGAATTAACGGACAATGCAAACTCCAGAGTGGGAACACCTGGGAAAACTGGTGCACCAGGTATATACAGGACCTTTGGAAAGGAAAAGGTCTGAGAAAAACCCAAATGTGTAGGAGAAAAGAACACGGCGGACTGAAGCCGTGGACCCTATCGGCCGCAATCATGAGCGGCGGAATAACAGACTGTCAGCCAAGGACAGTCGCACCGAAGGTGGTGCCATCAGAAAAACGATGGTGTCCACACCAGCATCCGACATGGAAGTGAGGAGCCACCTCAGCGGCAACGGTGCTCGGTGAGACCGGCTTGTGAGGCCGTCGGAGCGACAGCAGCAGAGGGTTGGCAGATGCGGCGGCAACGGGCGGGAAACTCTCTCTCTGTGCGAGCAGAATACTGCCTTAGAGCATCCACACACAACGGAGGGTGCTGAGGGCAAGCAGGGAAGACAACCTGCTTGGCTGGATCACCGACGCGCTGATTCTGGGTAAAAGTGGGGATCCCAAATGAAGCAGCGTTGACAATAATGTCCATAAAACGAACATCGAGCTTCTGCAGCTCAGAGCAACGCCGGGCACCCGTCAGAGCCAGCAGCATAGTCAACCTGAGAGTCAGTTCTTTGAGAGACTCATGCGTGAAGGACATGTTCCGGAACCAATCCAGGACTGCCTGTACATTCCACATGCTGCCATAGCACGACTGAGAAGAACGGGAGTGGGATGCACCGGGGAGCATATGAGACACCAGAGGATGCGGGCCAACCACAACGCCATCGATGGGAGGAAGCGTCATTGGCATGGCTGACCGGTACAACCCTAGCGTATGATACAGTCGAGCCAGACGGAATTGGGAGGTCAGAAAATCGAGGACCTCTGAGAGAACACCCAGGGAAGCAATTTGCCGTGTGGCACACCAATCACACCATGTGTTCCATGCCGACTGATACACACGGTCGGTGAGGGAACGCCATGATGCCAAGAGTAGGTTGGCAGTGTCGCCCGAAACTCCGCTGCGGCTGTTGCTAGCCCGGAGAGTTTCCATGCGACCAGGGGGAAGTGAGCTGACTGTACTGACGGGTGAACTTTGTGATCTGGACCAGCGAACAAGACCGGAGAGGCTGACAGCACGCGCGGAATGTCCACCACGAGTGCCAAGAGAGCTGGAACCCAAGCCTGGCCGGGCCAAAGCGGAGTGACCATGACTATGGATGGGATCTCCTGTAGAACAACCCTGGCCGGGCATTTGCCAATCAGATAGATTGGAGGGAAGGCATTGACTTGCAGGCAGGACCAGTGGAGACGGAAGGCATGCGGGCTGTGTGCATATGGGCGCCAACTGACGTATGTGTGCAGTCGAAATTTAGTGCGAGATGCAAACAGGTCGCAGGCACTCGGTCACATGATCTGGTGATCCTGGAAAACTGACCGGTCGAGCATCCAGGCGCTGGTATCCGTGTGATGGCGAGAGTGATAATCGGCAACTGTATTCACTGCATCAGGTAGATATTGGGAAGCAAAGTGATATCTCTGAGCAGACTGACACCACTCCCACAGCGTGGCAGCTATCCTGTCTAATGTCGGTGATGAACGGCTGCCAGTGCGGGGCAAACAGGGAACAGCCACACGTTAGTCGAGCTGCAGGAGAATACTGCCCTGGTATAGAGAAGGCGCTAGCGACTGGACAGCATACTGGGCTGTGAGCGGTTCCGGGACATTCATGTGAAGCTGTTTCGCGGCAGATGTCCATCAGCCGCCTGTGGTGACATTGGCACAATATGCACCGGGCCCCACCCCGAATGACCTGCACGGGATGCATCGGACTGGATGGCGAGGTTCGGTTCGGAAAGGCGTACAGGTCGCCCACTCCACAGCTGGAGATGCCGAATCCACTAATGAATCTCGGCATGGCACTCATGACTGAGAGTAAGCCGGTAAGTGTAAAAGGGACCCTGCCGTAGGAACGTAGTCTTCAAACACTGCAAGCGACGATAGCTAAGTGATGCAGGAACCACGGCAACCATGGTGGACACCATCATGCCCACAATTGACGCAATACCCCGAAGACATACGGTGTGAGCAGCCAGCAGACGCGCACATTGTTGTTGAAGCGTGGATGCTTTCGAGTCTGGCAATG